TCCATTTCTAGAATACTCCTTGAGATCTAGGCACGTTTTCAGGATATCTCTCTAGGTCTTTAACATAGGAAGACTGGACTTCTCACTAGAAAGATGCCCATGAATTCTTAAAACCTATTTATTTATTTATTTATTTAGACAATTGGGATTAAGTGACTTGCCCAGGGTCACACAGCTAGTAAGTGTCAAGTGTTTGGTCTGAGGCCAAATTTGAACTCAGGTCCTCCTGACTTCAGGGCCGGTGCTCTCTCCACTAAGCCATCTAGCTGCTCCTCCCATGAATTTTTAAAGCAGGAAGTGGAGGCAGTAGAGTGCCCTGATAATCCTCCTATTGGTCCTTCCCCAAGATCCATCTTCTTAGCAGGACCAAGTACCATTTGCAAATCCCCATAGCCATGATTTTCTCTGCATTTGGTCACCCTTTTATTAAGTCTATTAATGAGCATTTATTAATTAAGCCTATTGTGCTAAGCACTGGTGATAAAAAGAAAGGCAAAAGACAGTCCCTCACTTAGTTATATAACCTGTAGAAACAAATAAGTATATGGAAAAAAATGATTATCAATTGAGGGCCTTAAAATGGTTATGCAGCATCTATGACTTGTTGAAACTATCATAGACGAGAGAGAGAGAGAGAGAGAGAGAGAGAGAGAGAGAGAGAGAGACTAGAGGTAAAAGCCATGATTCCAATTCTTTAGGAACGTACATTTTAGTAGGAGATACACAATATCTTGTTTTGTTCATGCCAAGAGTGCACACATATTTGAACAATGTAGAATTGAGTGGTCAATGGAGTAGGTTTAATCTAAAGTTTGAAAATGAATGTGATATGAAAAGCAAAGGCAACAATGAAACTAAATTAAAATTCTGCAAGAGTTCCAGTGAGAGACCCTGAGGCTGTGCTTGAGGCTCTGTACTTCCTTCTCTGGCTGGTGCCAAATATATGGAAAATGCAGGGAGGACACAGGTATATGTAGCAGGAGGCTACAGCTATAAGGGTCACATTATTTTGTATTGTTACTTTTTCTAGCTGTCACTGCTTCTGGTTGCTTGGAAAATAATGGTTTAATTTTTTCATTTTCCCCCTTTTCTCTTTTGGTTGACTTTTATTTTCTTCTGTTTTTTTAAGCTGATTTTCTTCTTTTGCTGTTTTTCTCCCTTGGAAAACTCAAACATCACTGGAACAAAAACAATTTGTCCTGAAGGAGAGAAAGAGAAGAAAATGGCTGTCTGTCTGTCTCTCCTTGGGCAGTGGGAGGGGAAGTCCTTTGATGATATTTGATCCATGAGCTCCAGGTGGAAACCAAAAAGATCCTTTTTTCTAGGAAGACATAGGAGAGAAACTCAACAATGGTAGAAGAGCATGTTAGGGGAGAGGTATAGAAAGCTTATCAAGACCATATACGATAATAATTAAAGACTTGGATTTATATACTGCCTTAAGGTTTGCACTTTACAAATACTATCTCATTTTAGTCTCTCAGCATCTCTGGTAGGCAGATGTTAAATTATCCCTGTTTTACAGATGGGGAAACTGAGGCTAAATGACTTGCACAGAGTCACACAGCTAATAAGCTTTTAAAGCTGGATTTGAACTTAGGTCTTCCTTACTTCAGGTCCAGTGCCTTCTCCACCGAGCTACCTAGCTATTCTTAAGAAAGTTTAAAATCACAGATCTTTAGGTATGGCTCTCTCATCTTGGAATACGAATTTTACACAGTGCAGAGTTCTTACTCATTGTTGTTTGTGGTCAGTGGATAATTGCTCACTAAACTGATGCTTCAAAGAAATAACCAACTGTTGCCATTTAATAACTTTTGAATTCTACTCTGAGATGTTTCATGCTTTTCTTTGTTGGCTTTTTGATCTAAAGTCTCAATCTCTTCAGAACTGCAGCAGGAAATTTAGATTTAACCTCAAGAGTCAGTGTTTTGTCTTGTGTCTCCTCTAATTTAATGCAGATGTTAGAATGACTATATTTTACTTGAGATTTTATTGAACTTCTGTCTCAATACCCCTTCTTTTTAATAGAAAACATAGCTTGGCTGCAGTGCTCATTAAACTCAGAAAATCCAGCAAGCAGTAATTTTGACAATGTATACAAGTAGAAAAGAGAATATTTAGGTTCCCTCTTTGGAGTTCAAGTCTTTCAGCTGCCTCATTATTTTAGGGAGAGTTTTTCCATTCCAGAAAAGGAAAAGGAAAGATGGATAAAGTAAGTATATTGACAAAGAAATCCGTGTCAAAAACTTGAACACTGTATTGCCTAAATACAGATTGTGTGAATATTTCCCTTCGGCAACCTGTGGTAGAACCAGCAGGAGGTGGAGGTCTAACTGCTTCTTCTAGTACCATTCATTCCAAGTTCATGATACTTCTGCTTTCCATTTTTTTCCTATCCACTAAGTCCTCTCAAATGATAAAGTTTCATATCAAGCAGATTAAAATAGGTCTTCCTCTACCCTATGTAAATCACTTTATTATTTCAGGAAATCTCTCATTTCCATCACTTCATCTTCATAACACATGGTTGATGGATAGATCAGCTGAACAGGGAACAAATGAATCTCTATTGCACCTAATGAAGTCCAGTTCCTAAGGGCAAAGTGTTGTCAGGAAGATTTGGAATGAAATGTCGACTGAGCTTTTTAATCCAATGCAAATTCATTTAACAGGCAAAATGCTGCTACGGCACACACATTCAACTCAGTTAAATTTGGACTTAAGTGTTTTTCTGTCATTTGCCAGTGTGGACCCAAAAAAGGGTACAATTATCAGTATATCCTCCAACTTTACAAGGCAAAAACATTAATCCTTGATTAATGATGCATCCAGTTTCTTATCTGGAAAGATATAAAACATAAATGTGGCCGTTATTTTTAGGTAGAAATTTAAAGCAATGTGGTGAAGTGGAAAGAACTGTGGATTACTATCAAAACATTCAGGTTTAAACTAATTCATTGTATAATACTGGGTAATTCAATTGGCCTTTTTGATTCTCAGTTTCTTCATTTGTAAAATTAGAGGCTGAAAGTAAACAATGGCTAAAGTCGTTTCCACTTAAAGAATTATATGGTATACTTGGTTTCAGATTTTCTTGTTTTCTTCTCTTGATGCTAAAAACCAGCCTAATATCAGTGTTTTTTAAAAAAATTAATTCTTAAATTTTAATTTAATTAAAATTTTTCTGTCCTGATCACAGAATAATGGACTGGTTTCTGAATTGTTGATCCTGTTGTGACTGCTTCATTATTCTCAACTTCCAATCCTCCTATGTAAAATGTGGATAATACTTTCACTACCAATATTACCTGTTTGTGGATAATATTGTGCTGGATTACATCAAACCCAAATGGCACAGGGCTTGTTCAGTATGATCCCTAATTACTCAAAAGAGCTAAGCCTAACAGTCCATCTAGGGAAAGCTAAATGTATAAAAAAATGTTTATTGGCCACTCCGTGATGTGCACTTGGAAGGCAAGTCCATCCAATTAGTCCATCAGTACATAGGCAGATGGACAGTGAGTTGAGCCCAGAATTAAATAAGAGGAAGAGAGTGGGCGATTACACTTGGGAAATTATGCAGTTCTTTTAATGCTCCCAAGCTGCATCCTGGCACAACAGCCTATCTTTTTAATTTTTTAAATAAACACAAATGTTCTTTGGGTGATGCTATATGTCTGTGAATCTTGAAACAAGACACACAATCCCTGAACTATCAAAAGCATGGTTGACCCTTAGGTCAGTGGCACAAAAAGGCTGCAGTATATTTCCAATGATGTTTTATTTTTGTTGTGTCCAATTCTCCATGACCCCATTTAGGATTTTCTTGGCAAAGATACCGGGATGGTTTGCCATTTCTTTCTCCAGCTCATTTTTTGGATGAGGAAGCGAGCGAACAGGGTTAAGTAACTTGCCCAGGGCCATACAGCTAGTAAGTGTCTGAGGCTGGATTTGAACTCAAGTCCTCTTGACTCAACAACCAGTGCTCTATTCACTGTGTCACCCTTCCAATGATGACCTACATGCAAGTAATACTTCATTGAGGAGGTATGATCTGAATAGGAGGTGGTGGTATACTAAGAGTGAAGGAGAATAGATAGCCATGGCATGTTTAAAAGATCTCAAAGGAGGTTTCTGGCTTATTGGGTAAAATCCCCTGTGGAGGATATATGAAGGAAAATGAACAAGAACAACACAGAATGAGAAGCTGTGGATGAAGGGAGATTTCACATGGATGAAATCTCAGATCTATTGAAGAAGACCTACCCCAAAGTGCTGGATTAATATAAAAACTAATAATGTTAGTTATTTTTAGAACAATTTTTCAAATTTTGCTCATCATTTGGCAGTTAGCCTGCTGTCAGCTGATAACAGTTGTCTGTGTTTGCATGAATTTAGCCATCATTCATAGAGGAAGCTAAATGGCAAGGTGTATAGAATATTGGACTTGAGTCAGGAAGACCTGAGTTCAAATCCTCCCTCAGATATTTACTGGCTGTATGGCCCTTGGCAAGTCATCATGTTAGCTTTAGTTTCCTTAATAATGGACCTACCTCATAAGGTTGTTGTGAGGATCAAATGAGCTAACATTTGTAAAGCACTTTGTAGAAATGCTAGCTCTTTATTGTTGTTGTTATCATTATTATTGTTTGGAATCAATTCAGCATTCAGAATGATCCTCAACTTGAATGAATGCAAAATCTGACAGCAATGTATATTTTTGGGGGAAATTTCAACTCTCGACATGTGTGTTCATCACAAGGAAAAATAAAAATTTAAAAAATCATTGCACTGAAAACATTTGTTTCCTGGAACCATTTCCAATGCTGGTTTACTTGAGCCATTCATGAAGCTGGCAATGGAAGTAGGATTGAAGCCCCCTTGAATTTCCTTGTCAGATAGCAGCGTGTTTCCATTATTATCATTGCAGTACAGGCTTGTTCTCATGGGAGCTTAATAATAAATGACCATTCATAAATCTTCTGTCTGTTTTCCAGCCTGCAGCATTTTCCTTTCTCTCCCACAGACGTTGTACAACATCTACACGTAAGTGTGCTTTTCATGTTAAAAGATAGTAGGCACTCAGATAAAAACAATAGCTTATGTCCTGATTGATATCCTAAACAAATTGAGTGCGTTCATTATACATGAAGCTTGGGTGTTCAGCAATATTATTTGAATTGAATTCTGGCCTTTTGTGTAGTAGATTTGGACATTCATTGAAGTAGAATTGGACATTTTATTCATGGATGTTCTCCTGTTGTCAACGTTCAGTTCTTTGACATGAGATCCTCTTTTTGAGATTGGGGTAGGTGGATCATCATGAGAGATCATGTGGTGTAAGTGGAAATAGTGTGAAATTTGGAATTGGAAGAGATCTGAGTTTGAATTCTGCCTCTTTGTTAGTCAGACATATGATGATGGACAAGTCATTTAACCTCTGAGTCCTACTTTCCTCATCTCTTAAATAGGGGTGTAGTAATAGCTATAATATCTCTCTTGCATGACTCTTATGAGGCTCTCTGAAGAGAATGTTTGTAATGCACTTTGCAAACCTTAAATTGCTATATTTTGTCACTTATTTTCATATTTGCTCTTTATATGTCATATATAGCTACATGTCATCAAACTTAGTCCTCATTTTTAGCATGTCCTCACATACATTTGTAAAAATGAATCTGTTAAAATCACTAATGAATAGTACTGTTTTATCTAGTGATTCAAAATATTCCACTTGTTTCTCCGTGTTAACACGGTACAAGCTTAACAGCTTATTTTGTGTGTGTGTGTCTGTGTGTGTGTCTGTGTGTGTGGTTGTTTTCTATGCCTTTATTTTTGTTGTTGAATCCCTATATTTCAGTACACATGGAGTGGTTTAAAATGCAGACAAAATAGAAATTATCCTAGATGCTTGAAATGTGCATCTCATGAAACTGCAGACAGGCTTCATATTCTCAAGAAATACTAGCTCTGAGAAATTGAGAAATAAGAAGGATGTCTTGAAGCTCATTTTTTCCCCAACATTTTCAACTTTTTTTTCAACAAACATTTAAATTAAATGCTGTTCCTTTCAGCATAGACACCTTCAAAAGTTAGACACTTATTTCCAGGAATGTGGCCATTGCTTTAAAAATTTGTGGAATTGCCTTTAGGGTTCTTTGAAATTTGAGGATTTGAGCTTTAAAAGCAATACAAAAGTTTAGAAAGGTTATTTTGTTTCAGTCACATCTGACTCTTTGTGATTCCATTTGGGGTTTTCTTGGCAGAGATACTGGAGTGGTTTGCCATTTCCTCATCCAGCTCATTTTACAGATGAGGAAACTAAGGCAAATAGGATTAAGTGACTTGCTCAGGGTCACACAGCTAGTAAGTGTCTGAGACTGGATTTGAACTCAGATCTTCCTGACTCCAGGTTGGCCACTCTATTTACTGCACCACTTAACTTCCCTGATACAAAAATTACTCAGATGAATAAGATGGATAATCTCAAGCTCAGTAATACTGTTTTGGGTAAAATATGAGTTGTGATTTTAAAATAAGAAAGCTAATGTGTGTCAGCACATATGTTTTTGTGGGGAGGTGTAAACTGATGGACAAATTGAGGAGGCAGAGCCAAGACTGATGAGCAGCAGGAAGGATAGTCTAGCTCAGGGGTGGGGAACCTGTGGCCTCGAGGTCACCTGTGGCCCTCTAGGTTCTCAAGTAAATCCCTTTGACTAAAGCTGCACAAAACAAATCCCCTTAATAAAAGGATTTGTTCTGTGAAGTTTGGATTCAGTCAAGGGGCCTCACTTGAGAATCTAGAAGGCCACATGTGGCCTCAAGGCCTCAGGTTCTCCACCCCTGGCCTAGCTCCGCATCAGAATTTCTCCACAAAGACCTAGAAAATACATAAGAATGAGTCCTGTTTTGGAATTCCAAGGGAAAAAAAATCATAGTGGGTCATCTTTCTAGCTTAGATTGGTATATCAGAGACGGACAGATCTATGGAGACTGGAGACAGTCTAACCAGGAGAACATTGCACAGAACATTCATGTGCAGCTACTAAAAGTGGACCACTACAGGAAGAGTTCTCAGAGCCACACAAAGGGGCCCAACCTTGTGCAGTATGAAAGAACAGGTACCAGCTGGTAGTTCTATTGCTCATTGCCCAGTTCTGGGTCACATATCCAGGATAAACTGAGGAGGGTGCCTGTGCTTGAGGCTGGCATTCCAGTAAGGAGAAGTCCCAGGCCTTAGGCTGGGTACTGAGCAAAGGGCAAGTTCAGACACAAGCAGCTGTTGTGTTACTCTGCCCCCAAAAGTGGAGTGGGGTCTCAGTTTTATCCCCCCGCCAAATCTGAAACCTGCAGGGGCATAATCAGGGCAGGAATCTCAGACCAAAAAAGAGCCTGCAGTTAGGTCACTCTGAACCATCAGAACTTTCCAGCTCATGGTAACTAGGACCAGCAGCAGACCACAAGTAAATACTCAGTAAACAATTTATTAAGTGCTTACCATGTGCCACATACTGTGCTATATGCTAGAGGTACAAGGAAAGGCAAAACATAGTCTCCGCATTTGAAGAGCTCATAGTTCACTGGAACTGCACCAGAGCCAGGAACACAGGTGTATTGCTCAGATCCCAACCTAGAGTAGGAATTTGTAGGACTCAGATGAGGATGGCCGTGATCAGATTTTGCCCTGGATCAGACTACTCTGGGAGCAATGAAAGCTTGTGAACCCTCAGCCTGAGCTGTCTCTGAGATACTGGAATAACACAACATTCATACCCTCAGAAAAGCCACAAGAGGATCCAAGATGTCAAAAGCTAAGTCCAGATATTCCCTCCAAAAGTTCACAAAGCCTGGTCCTGACATAAAGTTTGAAGTCAGGAAATAGGCTGGGAGAATGAGCATGCAAAAAAGAATGTAGGAAAAAAAAAAACTTCAGACAAGATACAGCATCCTTTCCTTTTAAAAACACAGGAAAACATAGGAATAGATGTCTCTTTCCTTAATATGATAACATAAATCTGGGTCTCCCATTGCATCCTGGGCCATCTCCAGTCATCCTGATTGATATCTGGTCACTGGACCTAGATGGCTCTGGAGGAGAAAGTGAGGCTGGTGACTTTGCACAGCCGTCCTTCCCTCAAATCAAACTCAACTGCAAATCATGTCATCTCCCTGATGTCATAGTCCTCTTTGAGAATGAAGGGCAAATCACAACCACAACATAAATGTATCTAAAACCAAGATCAAGCATTATCTGTAATAATGGGAATAAATAAGAGGCTTTCCCAATAAAATCAGAAATAAAGCAAGGATGCCCATTATCACCAGTGCTAGAAATGCTAGCTGTTAGCAATAAGACAAGGAAGACAAATTGAAGGAATAAGCATAGGCAAATAGACAAAATTACCACTTTTTTTTTTTGTGAATGATATAATGGTTTAGAGAACCCAAGAGAATCAACTAAAAAACTAATTGAAACAATTAACAATTTCAGCATACTTGCAGGATATAAAATAAAACCATGTAAATCACCAACATTTCTGCATATTGCTAACAAAAGCCAACAGGAAGACATAGAAAGAGAAATACCTTTATAATAACTGCAGAAAGTATAAAATATTTGGAAGTCTACCTGCCTAGACACATAGTAACTATATGAATACTCTATAAAACACTGAACAAATAAAGACAGATTAAAATAATTGAAGAACTATTAATTGCTCATGGGTAGGCTAAGCAAGTATAATAAAAACTATAATTCTACTTTAATTATTCAGTGCCATAACAATCAAATTACCAGAGATTAGAGCAAAAAATGATCTCAAAGGACATAATGAAAAAAAGTGAGAAGGAAAGGGGCCCAACACTACCAGATCTCAAACTATGCTGCAAAGCAGTAATCATCAAAAGAATCTGGTACAAATTGAACAAGTTGTGGTATATGATTATGATGGAATACTACTGTGCTATAAGAAATGATGAGCTCATTGATCTTAGAAAAACATGGAAAGACTTGCATGAAATAACAAAGACTGAAATGAGCAGAACCAATAAAATATTGTATACAGTAACAGCAATATTGTTTTAAGAATGAGTGAATAAATCATTTTAACTATTAGAAGTACCCAAATTAACTACAAAGGACATATGAAGAAAGATGCTATCTGCACCCAGAGAAAGAACTGATAAATAGAGAAGTATGTATGGAATAAATATATATGTATATATGTTTGTGTATATGTATGTGTGTGTATGTATGTATGTATGTATGTGTGTATATATATGTATACACATACACACCTATTTGTGTCTAATGGCAGCCATGGGGGGGAGAAAAAAAAAAAAATTATTATATATACACTTTATATATATACATATACATATATAAAAATTTATTATATATGTATAAATGGAATACCAATTTGTACATAATTTTCAGTTTCATGTGCAATCATTTTTTTATTTTTCTATGCTATGAAAATGCTTGTTTTATCCCATAAATTACAAATAAAATAAATATGAATGAACAAAAAGAATTTGGTATTGGTTAAAAAACAAAAAGGTTGATCAGTGAAGCAGATTAGGTACACAATGTAGAGAAGCAAGGAAGTACAATTTGACAAATCCAAAGATCTCAGCTACTGGTATAAGAACCCACACTATTTGACCAAAAACTGTTGGAAAACTGGAAAGCATTCTAGCAGAAATGAGGTAGAGACTAACATCTCACATTGTATACCAAGATAAGCTCAAAATCGGTAAATGACATAGACATAAAGGTTTGACATGACACAGCTAGTTAATTACTAATACTTTGGGCAAGTCAGCTTCTCTGGGCCTCAGTTTCCTCATTTGTAAAACAAGGTATTGAACTAAATATTCTTTAAGGTTTCTTGCAGATCAAAGTTCTGTGCTTATATATTTTTCTATGTTATTCTATTCTAATTACTTACATTTGACAATCCATATGTGACAATCACAAAACTCCCTATTAAGCAGAATATTGGATTAACCTCGTTTTTCAGATAAGGTTCAGAGAGTCTAAATGACTTGTGAAGGGTCACAAGCTCATTAGTAACAGAGCTCAGAATTCAGGTCTCCTCATGCTCAGTCTGTTTTTCTAACTCTAGGCCTGTGCTCTAATATTAAAACCGGCGTTTTTATTTCTCTGCGTTGTAGGGCGTACCAGAGGAAGACACTGAAGCAGGATTCTTTGTATGAAGCTTTGCTGCCTTTAGTGTCTCCTGCCCTCCTGTTTTCCCTCCTGACTGTTTGGGTGGCTTTATCTCCATGTAATATATTAATCAAGCAGCCCAGATTATTTTTATTTATGGTTGGTGTTGCCTTCTCCAGCGTTGCTGTAAGTATCCAAAAGATTCACACTTGCGTAGTTGGGTGAGAGAGCACTTATCCAAAATGACCTTCACAATTCTCTAAGCAGTCTTGCTTTTGTCTAAATGGGGCACTGTGTGCCTTAGGCATTAGATAGCTATAATCATTTTGAAATGGCATTAATTCAGGTCCTGCCTGGAGACAAAGGGATGGTTTAGGTTTAGGCCTTCTGGATTTTCTTCTCAACCTTCATAATTTTGCTTAAGTAGTAAAATAATAATAATAATAATAATAATAATTAATAATAACAACTAACATTTGTAGAGCACTTACCTTGTACTAGAGACTGGGCTAAGCACTTTACAATTATCGTCTCATTTAATGGTGCTATTATCATTTCCATTTTACAAATGAGGAAATTAAGGCAAACAGGTTAAATGACTTGCTCAGGGTCACACAGCTAGTAAGTGTCTGATGTTGGACTGACCTCAGGTTGTCCTTAGCATACTAGCTGTGTGACCCTGGTCAAGTTACTTAACCCTGTTTGCCTCAGTTTATTCATCTGTAAAATTATCTGTAGAGGGAAATGGCAAACCACTCCAGCATCTTTGCCAAGAAAACCCCAAATGGGGTCACAAAGAGTCAGACATGGCTGAAAAAACGACTGAACCACGAGCACAAATTCCTGACTCCAGGCTTGGTGCTCTATCCACTGTACCACTTTGCTGCCCAAAAAGTAGACCGGTTTCTCCAGAGATGATTCTTAGACCTGAGGTGCCCAGATGCTGAAGTTAAATCAAATGGCTCCTTTTGGGGTATGTTCACATGACTCGGTGTAGAGGATTTGGTGGGACAGACTCTGAATTTGGTGATGCCGACATATTGGCTTATTACTTTAAAATGGTTATTGTCAACAAGCATTTATTAAGTGCTTACTATGTGCCAAGTACTAGGAATTAAAAAACAAACAAACAAAAAAAAAAGAAACAGTCCCTGCTTTCAAGAAGGGATTGGAATTGGAAGAGACAACATATGTAAATATGTAATATTAAATATGTGAAGCATGATATACTTACAAAAGATATACAGTGTAAATGGAAGGTAATCTCAGGGAAGGCATTAGCAGCAGGGGAGGCTAGGAAATGCCTCCTATAGAAGGTAGGATTTGAGCTGAGTCTTGAAGAAGGGCAGGAAAGCTAGGAGAAAGGAGAGCATTCTAGGTAGGGGGCACAGCTAATGCAAAGCATGGCATTGGTAGATGGAGTGGCGTGTATGAGGAACAGCAAGCTGGCCAGTATTGCTGTTTAAAGAGTATGTGCAGAGGAGTCAAGTGTTAGCAAAATGGCATGCTTTCCTTGAATTTTCTTTTGCCTGTCTGACACAAGAGACAAGGGCATCCTTGCTGGGGAAAGTTATCTAGAAGTTTTCATTTAATAGATGATTTTCTTTTTGGACTTTGATTTTGTCACTTACTACCAACAGAGATCAGCTCTGTGGTTTATCATCGAGGAGAAAAGAAAATACACTTTAACCTACATGAAAAGGAACTGTGGCACTATTGGGGGAATATATTGATCTAGCATTTTTTTCCATAAGAAGGAATGTTTGCGGTTATGAATTTCCTGATGTAGAATTAAATGGAAGGCACACATTGGAGCAAAGGACCAGGTCTTTGGTTTTCTAATACCCCAACCCCCAGATTTTTTGGAATTTATAGATGCTTAGTGTTTGGGCTATGGCCTGTCAAACTCCCAACAGATCCTAGGGTATAGCTAGAGAAATAGGAATACTGGTTACTCTACTTCTTTCTACCCTCTTCAGTGAAAACTATTGTTAAATGAGTGAAATTGTAAATCTTTTAGAAGGAACCAGTAGATGTTGTAGTAATAGAAAAGTTGGAGAAAAAGGTAGGGAAATTTGGTCTCTTACAACTTTTAACTCCTAAAGTTAAGGATCTATTAATACCTCACTGCCTAATATGAATTTTAATATGCAGTCAATCCTCAACTTTCATGAGGGTAATGTTCCTAGAAAATGTGCACGGAAGTAAAAAATGCAAATGTTAATACATTAAACCTATGGGAAATATGGGGTTAGATTCCCGTGACCACCCAAAACTATAATCTTTCACTAGAGAATGCTGAAAATATACTTTTCTTCATGTACTTCTTTATAACAAAACATTAATTCTGAAAATATGCACTTTTCTTAACACAGTAACCATGAAATAACCCATAAAAAGTATACAAAAGAAAATTAAAATTGGTAACATGCAAAAACATTTTTCTTGCTAGTCATTCCCTAGATTTCTGTGACCTTTTATGCTAACATTTCAATAAAAACAAAACAAAACACTGATTATGGACAATATTCACTTTTCATAACACATGAAATCTACAGTACCATAAATACTGGATAGTAAATAAAATTCTTAAAACTAGAACATTTTAAACCTGAATCAAACCTTCCACTATGTCAGATGGCAATGTGAGGGTGTTGTACTGTATACTATACTGCTGTAAACCTTTCTACTTTGGCCACCCTCTGAAAACCAAGGGAGAGGTTGCAGGGACTTCAGTCCCTGCTGTCAGAAGATGCCCAGACTAGTTAGGTCTCAATATCACCTTTGACACTCAATCCTTCACAGCTGCTGGTTGGCGATAAAGATGGAGAAGGATGCACCAGCTTAAACTAATCCATCAGTGATGTCTGCCTCGTGGCCTGTTTGAGATGCTTAAGGGTCTTGGATTATGGGAGCATAGTAGAGATGAGGTGACATTTAACCTTGAGACTGAGATCTATGATCTTGCTGCCTCTATGCCTCTAGCCAACTGGTCGATTTGGCTGACGGCAGGTGCAGACATACCAGCATAAAGGTTATCTAACACTTTTTTTTTTCTCTAAGCTGCATCACTGACTTTGCATGTTTGGGTTTACAGCCCAAAACATTTGCACTGCATTGTGGGAGCATAATTGCAACACAATTGCAACACAAGGCAAACAATGAAAATAGGCAGCTAATACATGGAGAGCTCTTTACATTGGTAGGGTGAACAAGACCATTGAAGTGTCTAGTAGGATGCCATCCACTCTGCAAACTTGTCCCTTGCACCTCTCATCTTTTTTCTGCTGTGAATGTGCGCATTTATCAACATGAAAGTGAAATGAAGTTACTAATAAAATCAGGCAAATGCTTGAAGTTGCAAGGGCGAATGTTAAATGTTGACTGTATCATATAGCCTGCCATATACTGGGCTTAGTGTACATGCATCATAAGGATTGATTTAGACCTGAGAGAGGCATCATCTAGTCCAAACCCTTACTTTATGTATGAGGAAGAAACTGAGGCCCGAAGAGGCTAACCACCTGGCCAAAACTACATAGCTTTTAAGTAGCAGAGAGGGGATTCAAATCCTGTAACTATAGGTGCAGAGAATGGAGTGCCAGAGTTGGAGTCAGGAAGACCTGAGTTCAAATACAGCTTTAGATACTTACTAGCTGTGTGACCCTGAGCAAGTCTTTCTGCCTCAGTTTCCTCATCTGAAATATGGAGATAATACTAATACCTACCTCCCAGGATTGTTGAGAGAATAAAATGAAACAGTATTTGTAAAATGCTATATAAATGTTAGCTCTTATTATTGCCATTTCATCATTTTTTTTATGGTGTTAGGGACAAAAGCTTCTATTTGTGAAACTAGGCAAACATTTTGAAAATAAGTTGATAAGGGCCAAGGGCATCCTTATTGGAAAAAGTAGGAGTTTTCATTTAATAAATTACCATCTGTTTGTTTTCATTTCTTTTTTAAATATGCTATGGAACCCACTGTTCCCAAATTATCTATTTCCCAACTCTTCAGTTTCTGACCTGGGTATCACCATTCTCCCTGCCTTCTTGGACCAGGGGGTAAATAGCATTTTTGCCTGCTCTCATGTTTGAGTTAAATGAATTAAAATATGGTAGCTGAAATCACATTTCCAAATTAGAAAAAGTCACATTTTCCTTTAATTTTCTGCTTCTGGCTGGCTGTTCCTATTTATATTTCCTGTGTAGGCCGAGGGTATGTTGTCATGGCAATTTTTTTCTCCTTGAAATCCTTATACTCTCGGAGTTTCATTATTTTTACCCAGTAGCAAGTAATGGCACATGAGTTGCTTTAGCATGAATATTCTCTTTTCATAGTTTGAGAATTATAGATAAGTTAAAATTTACCTTAAATCACTCTTTTTTTTTGATATCTTAAAGGGAAAAAACACAAAACTTTGGACCTCCTGTTACGGTTAGCAGTAGCTGAGATGTTAATTCCTTATAACCACAATCATCACCCCCCTCTACAGACTCCATTTTTTATGCGTTAAATAGGCTCAGATCTCCCTTTTTATGAAGTCCATTTTCATGGTTCTTATGTACTTTCTAGCTACTATTTACAAGTCTCTTATTCTCTTCCTACCTCAGTTTCCTCAACTATAAAATGGGTATATTAATAGCACCTGCCTCACAGGGCTGTTGTGAGGATCAAATGTACTATTTGTAAAGTGCTTAGCATAATGCATGGCACACATTAAGTGCCTAATAAGTTCCCCCTCCCTTCCTTTTTTCCTTCCCTTTCCCAGAATCAAACATAATTATGGAATATCTGAGTTGGAAGGGACCCTGGGGGCCAACTTACGGAACCTGTGTGTGAACAAGAATCCTTTCTAACTGTATCCAGAACCTTGAAGACCTTTAGTGAGGGGAAACTTATTACCACTTGAGGCAGCCCTTTCCATTTTTGTAAAACTCTATTTTTAGAAATATTTCCTTTAAGTAAAGTCTAATCTGTATCTTTGCAACTCAGACCTATTCATCCTAGTTATGCCCTGTGTACTGAACAAAACAAGGCTTATCTCTCCTCCAGGTGACAGTTCTTCCAATACTTGGAGTTTCTAACATGCTCCCCTCCTTAGACTTCTCTTTCCCATACTAATCTATCCCATTTCCTTCAACTCGTCCTCCTGTGGTATGATTTTGAGGCCCTTCAACTTCATGTATTCCCTCTCCTCCAGCTGCTCTTCATTTTACCAATAGACTCTCTAGACTGTGACACCCAGAACTCAACACAGTACTTCGGCAGTCATAAGGAAAGAGCACAATAGTATCATCATCTCCGTTTTACTAGATGGTCTTCCAAACTTAGCTTGATTTAGATTAATTTTTTGGGGGGAGGCAATTGGGGTTAAGTGATTTGCCCAGAGTCAGTCGTACAGCTAGTAAGTATCAAGTGTGTGGTTGTAGACCAGATTTGAACTCAGGTCCTCCTGACTCCAGGGCCAGTGAGATTAAGATTAATTTAAAGATTGCATTAGCTTTTTTTGGTTGCCGTGTCATGCAATTGACTCATAATGAAACTTGTGTGCCATTATAGTACTCCAGATCTTTTTTCAGTTGAACTGATATGGAACCAGACTTCCCTGTCTTTTATTTGTGAGGTTGATTTTTTAAATTCTGATATAGGAAATTATATTTATTCCTATTAACCCACTCCCTTCTTGGCTTCCTACAGTTTGACTCCTAGATTCACCATTCAACTAAAACTGTTGTTATAAAAGTCACCAATAACTTTTTTTTTCTTGCCAAAGTAATGGACTTTTCTCAGCATTTCCAAAATTAACCTTCCAAAGTAGGTGACTAGGAAACACATTAGATGATACTTGTCTAAATTTTTTTAAAAAAATTAATTTCTATACTACAAAGAATCACATTGTCATCCATTTTTTTCTTCACTGCTATGTCTTCAGTAAGTTGTAATTATTTCTGCTTACGGTACCCAGTTAGTACTCAGCTATCTGTCTGTACTGATGGTGGGCAGGGTTGGCATGGATAAAACATATTCATAGACAACTACCAAGCTTCATAAGAATTACTGGCTTCAATTTCATTATTCTCCTTAATCTTTTATCACAGTTGCGAATCAATAGCAAAACAGGTTGTTGAAAGTCAGGTAACTGGAGAGGAAAAAAAGCAAAGGACTTGAATAACCTACATGGTTATTCATCCCTTGAATGATTAATAATTGATTGTTTATGTGCTCCATTTTATGAATCTAGAGGTAGAAGAGTAATCTAGACCAAACCTTTCATTTTACAGATGAGGGAACTGTCCTAGAGAGGCTAAATGACTTTCGAAGAACTCAGGTCCCATTACTATAAGCTCATTACCCTTTGACTGGTTCTTTGGGGGTAATTAAGAACATGGTATTAAGAGTTATCACAGACACTTATTATTCATAATTTTATTTGTGTACCATGTATTTATGTGACTTTCATGGATTCTAGAAGCACGTCCTAGGTTTCTTTCCTTTTGCCTCACTGAATATGAGGGCATAGCTTGAACTAATTGTCTTTAAGGATATAGTTGTTTCCTCTGGCTACAAGGCTTTCAGATGGATTAGCCTTTTTCTCTACCTTTCTTCTCAACATCCCAATTCTAGAAGCCAAAACGTAGATGTCGTCCATCAGGAAATACATCTCTCTCCCCCTCCCCTTTTTTCTGAAACTGGGTCTCCCAGCTCCCTCATCCAGGCTTTCAGTGCAGTGGCAGCTCATGGATCTGATCCCACTGCCTGATCAATGCAGAAACACAGATTTGCCTGTTTTCCAACCTAGGTTGATTTGTCCTTTCTTAGGCAGCCTGGTGGACCTCCATGCCCAGGGTTTGTTATATTGTTATATTGGTACAATATAACAAACTCAGATTCAGTGCAAAAAGTCATTTGATCAACTGTAGCTTTACCAAAGCTCAGAATTCCTGAACTCAGGTGATTCATTAGCATCAGCCTTCCCCATGGCAGGATTTAGAACAGGGGTGGGGACCCTGCAGCCTCAAGGCCACATATGGCCCTCTAGGTCCTCAAGTGTGGCCCTTTGACTGAATCCAAACCTCACAGTTTAACATCATTTTATTAAGGGTATTCGTTTTGTGAAGTTTGAATTCAGTCAAAGGGCCACACTTGAGGACCTAGAGGACCACATGTGGCCTCGAGGCTGCAGGGTCCCCACCCCTGGTTTAGAAGCAATGGGCCACTATGCTCAGATCTTTCAGGAAGTACTAATGCAGGGTTGTTTGTGAGGAAAGGGCTTTTTTGAGAAGCAATGTGATGTAGTGGAGTGAACACTGAATCTAGAGTCAAAAGATCTGTGTTCAATTGACAGCTCTGTTTCTTACCACCTATATGATCCTAGGATCATAGATTTAAGACTGGAATTAAGAACCTGTAAGCCATCAAGTACAACTCTTTCCTTTTTACAAAGGAAGGAAAAAAAGACTGTAAGAGACAAGGGTGACCAAGGTCATCTAGCAATAAGTACAGAGCTAGGATTTGAATCTAGGTCATTTTATTCAAGCATTTTTTCCATTGCACCATTCTACTTGTGTGATTGTAACCTGATTCCCATCAAGATGGGTGGAGAAGGGGCAGTCCTGTGCTGCATGCTGCCTGGAGAATGGGATTTCAGATTGGAGAAGAGGCATTCTCCATGGATTGAGAGATAGAGGTAGATTTTGGAAAGCAGAGATATAGGTGAAGTTAGGTCTTTAACACATACCTGATTTCTAGCTTGGCTCCCTGAGACTCTGGAGTTTCCCCTTGGGTGACATTGGGGCTTCTCTCTTGGTTGGACCAAGATCTCGTCTCTTGTGCCCGTCTAAAGAGTTCATTCATTCTTGTGTATTTTCTGGTATATTCTAATCCAGGGGTGGGGAACGTACGGCCTCAAGGCTACTTGTGGCCTTCCAGGTCCTCAAGTGTGACCCTTTGACTGAATGTCAAAGGCCCCAAGGCCACACGTTCCTCAACCTTGTTCTAATCTGTGTAACTTCTCCAATTTCTGCTCACTATTTGCTTGGATAAATGGGTTTACTCACTAGCCACCATTTGTGATGGGGTTTTACATGACTTTCATTTGGTGGAAAGAGGCCAAACTAGTGAGTATAGGGTCAAAAGCTGCTGGCTTCCCTGGTCACTATCTCATTAGGGAGAGGTCATCCCAAGATTACATCTGCCCAAACACAGGGCCCCTCCCCTCCCTAAGTAGGGGTAGGAGGCACAAGTAATTTAACCTCCTTGTGCCTCAGTTTCCTCATCTGTAAAATGAGGGGAATAGACTATTGGTTCCCTTTCTACTCTAAATTGATAAGATTTTTTTTTAAGTTTCAAGTTAAATGTTAAAATTTTTATTATGGAGGCAAGAAAAAAAAATGAAACTAGACTAGATCATTTGACCCCTTCTCTTCTTGTTTCCTCCAGGTGTCAAATGCTTAGAATTCTGAATTGCTTGCATCTTCTTAGATCTACAGTTGGGCTTAATATACACCTCAGTCCAGTCTTCTTTGTGGTCTGGGACTGCTTTCAGAAAATTGGCTTTGTGTGACCACTACAGCCACTGTGTTTCCAGCCAGTCTCCTTTCCCCTGAGTGTATAGGGGGTCCTCACTCTTTGTGAGGCTGGTGCTTTCTGCACCTTGTAGGATCTGGGGGTTTGGTGAATGTTCAATACATTGGAGATAGCATCACTGGTAAGGAGAAGGTTCAATATTAAGTTCAACAAGAAGTCCTGCTACTTAGGTGAAAAGGAGGTTGTTGTAAATAGTATTACTGGTGGGTAGTACAGTGAGTGGATATAGTGGCGGACCAGGAATCAGGAAGACTCATCTTCCTGAGTTCAAATCTGACCTCAGATACTTACTAGCTCTGTGACACTGGGCAAGGCACTTAGCCCTGTTTGCCTGACTTCCTTATCTGTAAAATGAGCTCGAGGAGGAAATGGCAAATAAACCCAGTATCTTTGCCAAGAACCCCAAATAGGGTCACAAAGAGTCAGACAGAACTGAAATGACTGAACAACAGCAATCTCACTTATTCTGACTGGTCTAGACCCAATTGGCTAGTCATTCTTGAAGTATTGCTTTGACAAAGCTTTCCTGGATTAGCACCAAGCAGGAGCTTATCACTTGTCATTTGTCTGTGCTTTTTAAAAGTCTGAATAAACAGGAATAGTGGCAAAATTTCAGAAATAAATTCAAAAGGGGGAGAGGAGGCTGTTTAGAAGGAGAAAAGGGGGAAAACAATAAAATCCATTCATCCTGCTTGCTAGGCACCTCACATACATATTTTTTCTCTCTGCCAACATAGAAGGAAAAGAGACATTTCCCATTAAACTTCACCCTTGGATCTAGTCCTCAGAAATAGGAAGGTGAGTGTTTAGGGAGTAGGAAGCCTGGGAGAGAGTTGGGCAGGAATAGCAGGAAACCTAATAGATAACATTAACTTTTAACATGCTTCCTTTAGACAACTTTGGCTCCCCCATCTAACTTTAAAATGGGATTGTTTTCTCTTATTGCAACAGTGCAGAGTGATTGTCTGCCAAATGAGCAACACCAGATCTGAGTCATTCCACTACCTCTTGTTTCCATTGGCCTTGGTGGTCTTCGCAGCTGTAACGGGGCTTCTGGGGAGACTGGAGGAATCTGTGTTCATGGCTTTCACTGCGTTAACCACAATGGCCCATGTGCACTATGGAGTGTGTGTGGTAAATATCTCATCTTTTTTTTGTTTGTCTTCTTTCCTTACAATAGCAAATTAAAAGTAATAGTAATAGAGTGCTGACCCTGCAGTCAGGAAAACCCAAATTCAAATCCTGCCTTAGGCAGTTATTAGCTCCTTCCCCCTCTCTAAATGCTGCTGCTTGCGCTGCCTTGTTTCCATCTTGCAATCCACAGAAGTGAGGGGAAGGGAAGAGAGGAGAAAAAGAAGACTCCATTTTGTTCTGCCTCTCTTCCCTTGTTCCATCCCTGAATAGCTTCAAGACTCCATCTAATTTCCCTAAGGTCATACTGCCTCCTCTTATGAAGCAGGTAGGTGGTAAAGTAGACAGCACGTCGGACTTGGAGTTAGGATGACTGGAGTTCAAATCCTGCCGAAGACACTTACCAGCTGTATGGCTATCATTGGTGCAGTTTTAAAATGTAGATCATCACAGGCTCTACCTCCCAGGGTTGTTATAAGGATTAAAAGAGATCGTATATGTATAGTGCTTTGCAAACCTTAAAGTGCTATACAAATGTATTAAGTGTGTACATAGACGCACACATGGGCCATAGTGTGTGAGATGTTATTAACTAAGGGATTAAAAAAAATTTCTTGAATTATTCCTTTTAGCATATGAATTGTTTAGGACATAAATATGCGAGTTCATCCCAGGGAGAGATCATTTATGTGCAATAAAAGCAATTATTTACAGGTCTTATTAAGATCTTCAGAGAAAAAAATAAAGATTAAAAAAAATCAAGTCTTCCAATCAATCAATCAATCAATCAATCAAGAAACATTTATTAAGAGCCTACTATATGCCAGGCACTGTGCTAAGCATAAGAGGCAAAAGATAGTCCCTGCCTTTAAGAATTTCATAATTAATGGGCAAATATTGCTCAAGGTAACCTAAAAATTAAGAGCATAACTCCTAAATTGTTATGTGACATTTTTTTTAATGCTCTGGATATGTGAAATGCCAAACAGTGGTCATAAGACTAAAAGATTTGGAATTTGAAGAGACCTTGGAGGCTGTTGAATCCGAACTCTTCCTTCTACAGATGGTACTGGGAGGTCAAATTATCTATGTAATTTCACATAGCAATTAAGGGTCTAAGATGGAATTTGAACCCAGGTCTTCCTGACTCTAGGTCCAATGCTCTACCCACACTATACCATGATGATCCTTATGTCAGCATGTTGAAATACATGAACATAAGTCACATAAGTAATCCAAAATAGAAATTAAGATCTTCTGTCTACATAAAAGCCATTTTTCCTAAGTGTACAAAACTGGGTATGACCTTAGACTTCATCTCTCTTTGTATAGGTGATAGAGCTATTGTTATGGTATCTTGGAAGCAATGAAGGGATACTTCAGTGTGAAACAAAATGATGAGAGAAAGAATCATAGATTTTGAACTAGAGGGGACCTCAAAGGTCATGTAGTTCAGTTCTATGATTTTACAAACAAGGAAACTGATGTCCAGAAATGAAGTGACTTGCCCAGGGTCACACAGGTAGTGGCAGAGCCAGGATTTGAACAAGGCACTTTGTCTCTAAATCCAATGTTCTTTTCTCTGCACTCTACTTCCCCTGAAGAATAATCTTTTTTCTTTGTTGATCTAGGGTTATCACTACTGTTTTATAGCTGGAAAAGGAAATCAAGTAATATTCTCTAACTTATTTTTTCCCATTTCTTTCCATGTCTTCTAGGGGAGACAATTAAGTCAACACTTGAACATTCACATCTTTTCCATGAAGAAACGTGCCCAGGAATAAGTATTTGTTATCAAGGAACAGTCAAGATCTGCCCTGATATTCCTTCTTTCTAGGAACAATGAGACTCAATGTACCTGAATGACCAAAGTATCTTCATACACTTAATGAATATAATGGAATCCATATTTAAAGTGGTGTGCTTCTCTTGTGTCTTGAATATGAGCTATTCACAGAAAGAAGTTTCTTAGCCTTTCCTCTCCATACTCCCACATCTCCATCTCTCCAGTCTCTTTCTGGCTTATGTTCAGAAGGACAGAGAGGATTCTAACCAGCCTGGAGTGTGTGGCTGTGCCTCTAAAACTCAGAGGAAGTTGCCAAGTGAACACATGGGCCCTGTGTCAAGGAGCCCTCATATGGTTGGACAAGCCTGCATGCATGACTCTGCTGGCTTCTTCACTGGACTGCTGTGAAAACAGAATGAATGTCATGGATGTTGCAGGATACCTGAAATACCTTAGAAGGCAGGAGGCATCCAGCTCCTTCTGCGTCTCCTCCTCCTCCCACGTCCAAGTTTGGGCAGAAGCTACAGTTAAGAATCATGGAGTTGGTGGTCATAGTGAATTTCAGGAAGTAGCTTTTATAAGTCAAGCTGCTCAGGAACCCTAATTTGGTTTTTTCAGTACCATCTGATAAGTTTAATCCTAAAAGTAAAACCACATGCCTTGTTTGGCAGGTACTTAATGGAGAACTGTAGAAACCCTCCCCACAATTTATAGTTTTGTCCTAGAATAAAAACAAAATAGCAGCTGACGTTGTAAGAGCCCTTTAAGGTTTGCCAAGTGCTTTCCATACATGTTCTCATCTTTAGGCACAGCCACATGAGAATGGGGAGATTCATTACAATGCAGCAAGGAAACCCCAGGAGAATTAAAGCCAATAAAACTAACTGGAACAGATTCACAACGAAGTATATTAGATTAGGACAATCATTATATTCCTTCAGAGCAAAGTGAAGTTATTTCCAGTTGTCATGCTTTGATGCATAACTGTGTGGTCCTAGGTACTATTTTTATGGTCTATGTAAATTGAGTTAGTATAAGTTTTATCCACAGAAACCATGCTGAGGGCTTCTCCCAAACAGTCAATGGTTTACATAATCATGTGTGTTCCAAGTTTTAAGAATTATATACTTTATAAAAATGTCTCCATGGGATAAACACAGTATACACACACTCACACACACAAGACCATTTGGAATTTGTTCATATACAAAAATAACTTCCACTCTTGTGAATTGAGAAGAGGTAATGATACAAATTCTCTGAATGAATGCTGCTATTGGGGTCTTTTTTCTTGGATTATTGTTGATAGGAGTTTACTCACCTTTGAGGTAAATATATTCATCCACTCTGTGCCTAAGTAAACCTTTGGTCTTAAAGAGTAATTTTTTTTTTCATCTCTAACAAAGATACAACAATAAATGCATAGCACTGAAGTGAAAGTGTTTTCTCAGTACCCTGTGAATGGATAGATTAACTGATCTGTAATTTTCTAGTTTACATGTTGTATTGTTTACAGTGAGAATGTCTTCAGTCAAGGATTTGGTATCTGGAAAGAAAGCTTCAGGGGATACATAACAATAATTCCAAAGTCACTCTCACATTGAAATGTAATATGTGCTTTCTCCCTATGCCTTGAATATTGTCCAGATATTAGAAAAGTGTATGTGTATATAGGCCTGATTGACTAGGTTCTTTTCCTAAACTAATATTCAAGCTCAAATTTCCTATACTCCATTTCTAGGAAATGTATCAAGCCAGAAAAACTGTCCTAGGAGATGCTAGAGAGATCATATTATGTTTGTATAACCAGGATATTGTGTTTTTAGTAAATAATTCTTGACTGGACTGTATGATTAGATGAAATGAAAGTATAACACATTTATGGGAATTGTCTTTCTCCAACATTTTAACACTTCTAAATATTATTTTAAGTAGTCAGAATTTTGAACACATCTTGGAAAATGAGTCAAAGGAATCTTTAAAAATTATTCTTTTTAGTTTTATTGTATAACGTAACTAATGAATTGAGAGATTATGTTATAACATCAAGATAAAAGGGGAGGAATTTTGCCACACAGGGAAATGCCTACATGTTCTGTTGTATTGGAACAATAGAATCATAAATTTAGAACCGAAGGAACCTTAGAGGTCATTGAGTTCATCAATCCTCTCATTTTATAGATGAGGCAATTGAGGGCCAATGAAGTTTATGAGTTGCCTGGGGTCACAGAGCTAGTAAATGTAAGAGATGGAGTTTGAACTCAAGTCTTTTCTGACTCCAAATCTAGCAATGAATGAAGATTGTAAAGAGCCAATTTATGTTAGTGGTAAGAAAAAATTTTCTAGCAATTAGGGGTATCCATAAACATAATGTGCTGCTTCCTTGGAAATTTTCAATCTAAGGCTGAATGACCCCTTATCACATATGTTGTATTACACATAGTCTTGTTCAGGTAAGGGTTGGAATGGGAACTGTTGTGCTCCCCTCAACTGAGAGATTCTGAAATTGTTTTCTTTTGGGGATAATAATGTGGTTAAGTTCAGAGTTACATTAACACATCATTGAACTTTCCTATAACGCAAATGCAAACTACATGTGCTCATTTACCCAGTTGAGGGATTTAGGTTCATCTGACTGCGATTCAAGTCTGTGGTCCAAAGGCCCCCTATCATTCTTATGGTCCTCCAGAGTCCAATATATCTGCCAGATTTTTACTTCTTTTACACAAGAAGATCCATTGCTTTTAACCTCTCCCACTGAGAAAGGAGTGTACTTTATAGTTCCCAGTTAGGTAAAGTATTAAGTCTAGTGATAGAGGAGTTGAGTGGTTAAATGTCCATTGGGAAGTTTTGATTTCAGCACCTAGCACAGTAGGAACTCAAATACTCGCTGAATGAATGAATGATCTGATATTCCTCTTGGAAGCAGACTGTATTTAGTACTGTTCTGTTTGCCCTGAGAATGAGAATTTGTGAGTCTATAGTAATTCCATCAGTCTTAATAATCACAACAATCATATCTAGAATTTTGGTTTTCAAACTGGGGAACACTAATGCTCTAGGATCTTAGGAGTTTTAAAAAATGTATATGAAAAACCTGTTTGTTATCTTAGGCTGGGAATATGGCAGAATTCCAGTAAGATTTACATGTCTGTGATTTAGAGCCCTGTTCCTCTACCAGTAATGGGAACTCATGGATTATTTTGAGAGAATCTCAGATTGAATCTTATTCACAGTATGTATGAATAACAAGGGACTTTTGCTCATCATAATCTGTAACAAATCTCTTGTAAATAAGCTGCAGACACACCAGAATTTTGAAGATTTTTTTTCTCTTTTGTAATACGTTTGAGGTCAAAAGAAATGTGTTTGTTTTCAGCAGGAAGACTTTTACCATATGAAGATTGGCTTATAGACCCCACTATGTCAAGAATGTACTCAAGGGAAAGCTGAATTAGGCAATAGGATTATTCCTATCTTTGCATTTCTGTCTTTTATTTCCCCCTCTCCTCTTTGATAAATGAATAATAAATTAAATAAATAAAATCTTTTTTCACAGTCAGACTGGTAATAGCCTAGTAAGGAAACTAAATTGACCTCTAGGTGGTGCTTGAAAACAGTATGGTGATTATTTTTCCTTCTGGAAGCAACAGCATTCATCCATTATACTTCCAAGCTCTGCAGGCCACTGGGTGGACAGTGATTTCCCTACAAACGAATACTGTACTTTTCTAGGTGGTTTCTCTGGGTTAGGTTTTAATGAACTTTCCTACTTATTCCTTGTTTTAAACTTTATACACATCCATTTACAAATCACCTTACTTTTTGCCAAGGTCAGTTATAAGAAGGGCAGGGTTGGGAAGAAAAAAAATCCTTATTCAAAAAGCTGTTGAGTTCTCCTCTCTCTTTTGCTGCAGAGCTTGCCTCAGGACCATCCTGAAGTCTCTCCCTTGGTGCCTACTCCTTAGTCCCATCTTCCCCAGGCCTGTCCTGTTTTACCTCATTTTACCTGCATTTGCTGCTGGAGTTTCAGGTCTTTGCAAGTGGAATTGTTTCTCAAGGGAATTTTTCTTCTTATTTTTCTCTTTATATTTTCACTAAAATTTTTTCTGAGTAATACAGATGCCCGACAAGGCTACTGTGTATGGTACCAAAACACGGAGCCTACATCTCCTGCTAAAACATTTGGCACTTAAAAAAAAAAAACAACCCTTCTCTCCAATAATGCATGTAAACCCATACATGTACAACCTATACATATCCACATGCTCATTAAATGCTAATGTTGACAGTAAAAATTTAAATAGTCTATAGATCTATGAAGATTTTAACATATACTTTTTTTTATTAAATATGTAAAAAGATAAACGCAAGTCAAGTTATTCACATATTCAGAGACAAAAAAATCTACTCTACCATGCGACAGTTGGTGGGTGAAGTAAAATGAGTGTGATACATCTGAATAAGCCTTTTTCATCTATTATGCCATTACTTATCTATTTATAATTAACAATACATATGTTTACATTCCTTTCAGTTTACATTTAATCTATAACAAAAGCTTTATGGTATACTATTTATTAAAAGTAATTACGAATGCATATTAAACCATAACGGAATAACAGGAATACTCACCAGGGAGGGAAGAAGAGGCCTTGTTTCCCTTCTGGAGTTTACTTCTCTCGGGTCACCTGGGGTGTTTTAGTTTGTTTCTGCTTAGAAAGAGATTGGGTTTTCCCCTTGCCCTCTACGTCAATCACTTCTTGCCTGACATAAGTGGTGAAAGTGCTATAATCAGCTTGATAGGGGGATGTGAGGGGTGGACAGAAAATGAATTTGTGTGAATGGGAAAAGGAAAGACATTCATCAAGGGGGTGCTGCTCAGTGCAGTAAGGTCAGTCATTGCCATCAGTGGTCTAAGGAGGAAGACATACTGTAGGATGCTTGAACTGAGAAACACAGCTTTCACTATTCAATGAGAAAGGATCTGGAAAGGGACCCAACTCTCTTTCCTCCATGGATAGTTCAGATAGCTCCTGCAGAAAAGGGTCAACTGAGAGACAAATGATGTGAAAATATCTTATAACTTATAAAATAAATTATAAAGAAGCCTACTTCACCTGGGATGCAGCTCGATTTAATGTTGGTAAGAAACATGAAAGAGGAAAATTTTCTAGCTCTTTTCTAATTGAATGAACAATTTTATCTAATAACCAAAGTTGTGGTAATCTTGGAAAGATTAATCAAATATAAGTCTACTTTACAGGACAGGAAAGTCTATGACCACATTTTTCAGCTGAGAAGATGGCAGGAATGGGGTGGTTTCAGGGATTGTCATCAATGAAGCTTATGGAAATTATTAAATGACTCGTCTAATGCATTCTGGAAGAGAAACTTCAAAACCTAGCTGTTCCCTAGAAAGGGGATGGGACTGAGTGCCCCAGCACTGATACTGATGCTGATGTCAGGAACTCATGCTCATAGCTTCCACTAAGAGTTGCTGTGATCTGCGAGGACAAAAAAGGAAGGTCTGGTGCATTCGCCTGTCTATCCTGTGTGTTTCTTGGCAGAAAATTTCCTTTCACATATTTCCTTGTGCACTTACACAGCTAGCTGTCTTTTAAGTTGAGGAAAGGGAATGACTAAACAAAGCTTTAGAAATGCAGCAAACAAAGTTAGGTGGGAGACTTATAGCATTACCACTACTTGTTACCAGGTGGGAGAGGATGTCAATGATGAGAGCCAGGCTAGAAAACCTATCTAGCCTTAGAAGGGTGAGCTACCATGCTGTCTGCTATATAGAGAAAGCAATGGAGAGAAGAAAGGGAAACAAAACCCATAAGATTTATGTCTATTTTTTTCCACAGTGAATTGTATATATTGGATATAGGGCAAAACCTCAAAATACAGGCATCCTTCTGGACATTTAACTCAATAAACACCACTTTGCTGCAAAAGATTTATTTGGAGCAGAAGATTTTTATTGGTAAAAACCTTCAGCTCCAGTGTGAATTTAGAACTGGAGTTTGATCAATTAGTAAATAAATTCAAAACTTTAAAATAGATCATTCAGAAGTTTATTTTAGCTGTTTAGTTAAGTGGCAAATATGGGGTTGGGTGGAAGGGGCACTTGTTTCTTGCTTTTGTTGTACCTGCTAAATCAAATTACCAGTGAAAATAAATCAAAAATTGGAAACCAAGCAAAATGAACCAAGAAGGAACACCAACTGCAAACAGAAAAAAAAAAGGCGATGAAGAGTCAGAAAGACTAATAAAATGTGCAAATTTTAGTTAAAAAATAAGGAATGCTTTTAATACATTAATATTTGCTATATTTGTTTATAAATTGTCACTGTTTAGCAAAGGTCAACAACAAGAAGGGCCCTAAGAAGAGGAAAAATTCCATATTCCAAATGCTACTGGGAGTCACGGATCTTTCCGCCATATGACTCCAGCATCTTAGGCAGCAGAGTCTGCACCAGGCTGCAGAAATGTCTCCCTTGGAGGTCAGAGGATCATATATTTGGAGCTGGAAGGGGCTTTAGAGGTTGTGCTTCCACTAATCAGAGATCAGAGCATCGCTTTAATTTCAGGTGAAATTTCCTGTCATGGCACGCACAGAACTTGACAAACACAGCTAGCTGCAACCCATATTGTAATTCTTATAGAAGAACTCATTCTTTTTTAAGAATTGCCATTGGTTCTGGAGCCAGCTGGCAGTCAACGGACCTTACTTAGCCAGGCCTCTCTCTTCCTCTAGGTTGAATGTTGGAGGAGAGGCACTGAAATCCACACTAATTACTTTCACCTAGGGTACCAATAAGGAAAGGGAGGGAGGGGGCAGAAGGCAGTAGGGTCACTCTCTGACTGACCTACATACCCAGAACCCTTTTGGTCTGAAGATACTGAGCAGCAGCATCTTGGGGAGTATGTATGTATGTATGTATGTATGTATGTATGTATGTATGTATGTATGTATGTATGTATGTATGTATACCTATCTATCTATCATCTATCTATCTATTTATCCACCAAATAGGACCCTGAGAAAGAAAAGACCACGAAAACCTCTGGTGGCAGGGTAAGGAGATGGGGATGGGCAGAAGGGAGAAAAATAAGGAAAATTGAGATGTTTCTTTTTTTTTTTTACCTCTTAAGTGGATTCAGATCTTCCAAAAATAACAACATACTGTGTGGTTGTCTAACATGCTGATGTGTAAAACACTGAAGGGACTTTCTGTCCTTTGAAACCATTGTTTTGTCTTTAGTTTTGTGAATAGAGAGATAATGTGATTTGTAGTGGCACAAGCCTTCCCGTCCCTCACCCAGGAAAATATGCCGTTATCATTATGGCTTCACTCTCAAGTATTTCTTTTCCCTTTGTTCCAATTCATCATTTGACCAAATTTATGCTCAAAGGCAGACAGACTTGCAAACATCAAAGCACCACAAATATGTGTGACATCTAGTAACATTTTGTCGTAAGATGCCCATATAAATACCATATATCAAATTACAACGGTATCATACTAAGACAAAAGTTGGGGGAAGGGGGGATTCTTTTTGAAAGAAAAGGACAGAACCCATCTCAAGCAGCCAAGTGGTGAAGTTGAAAGAATGTGACCCTACAATCTCTCAGGTGGACAGCCAGAGAGTAGACTTTTGCTAATGCTTCTTGGCAAAGTAACGAGCAGAGATCGCAGTGGTTTGGCTGGCACTCACTGCAGTGCGTCCACGGTAATGGTGGATGGAGAGCAAAGGGTTTTCTTTCGTGTTTGAGGCCACACATGTTCCAATTCTCCAGAAGAAAAGTTCCCACAACAAAATGAAAAGTGTCACGAGATGTGAAGACGGGTCAGTATTCTTCCTGCTGCTGAGGCTGCTCGTGAACTTGCCCTTCTGCATCTTGCTCCTCTGTGTGGCTCTCCTGTAAATCAGACAGAAAACCTTCAGCTGAAAAGCCTTTGCTGTTAATGAAGCTCCCATGCCTCCCCAGTGCACAGGGGCAGCCTGACTCTGCTCTGAAGACAGGCTGGGTTCAGGCATGCCTGCACTTCCCTTCCTCCTTCCAATTCGTATTGGAATAATTCTTCTTTCTATATGCAGTTTAAGAATAATGCAAGTCAGGCTAGATATGGCCTGCTGACATAGAGATCAGTAGGTGGCACTAGGTTGGGATAGCACCTGAATGTCCTTTCATTTCCTTCATGCAGAGAAGTCTAACAATATTTTTTTTTACCAAGATCCCAAGCACACAAACATGAAATAAGACATAGCTCCTCTCAGAGCGGTGGTTTGGAGTCTGAGGACCTTGGTTCAAACCCCAGTCTTGCTGTTTGCCTTGGGCAAATCCTATTATCTTGGCCTTACGTTCCTCATCCATCAGAGGAGGGGTTTGATTAGGTTCATCCCAGCTCTAGATCTGGGGTCCTGTGCTTCCCACCACAACCTTACAGTCAGAGTGAGCAACATACTTACACAAGGTGCACTATATAACAGGGAGCAGAACATGGTGGGAACAAAGGGAGGTCGACAGTGCTCAGGGACACTGCAAGAGGAAATGCAGGACTAAGGAATGCTTTGGGGAAGATCTGGCATCCAAATTGGGCCAGTCTATCGATAAATATTTATTAAATATCTTCTATATGCCAAGCACACAGAAGACTCTGCCATCGAGGTGATTACATTTTCCTGGTGATTACATTGAAGTAAGGGAAGGATTTTAATGGGTTGGAATGATGGCAGCCAAGGAGTCCATTCCAGGCATGGGTGATGATGGCCTAAAGAAGGCCAAAAAAAGATGGGAGATGACAGGATAAGGATGGGGTGGGTTGGTGGCAGCAAGGAATTTGGTTTGACTGGAGTTTAGAGTACATGAAGGAAAATGGTGTGAGATAAGGCTGGAAAAGTGGGTTGTAGCCAAATTGTGAGGGCCTTGAATACTAACATAAACAATTTATACTTTATTAGACAGGTGATAGGGAGCCACTCAAAGTTTTTGAGCAGAAGAGTCACATAATCAGTAGTGTTTCAGGAATAATATGTGGGCAGTGGGAAGACTTCTTGTGACTCTAAAACACCCATTATAACAAAAATCCTAGCTCCCTGGAACCTCCAGGAAATGAACTGTTCTGTGTAGCTGAGTTAATTCAGGCACCAAACTTGTTATTTTGCAGTTTTGGAAAGAAACCTTTATGAAGTGGTTATAGACTTTACTGCCCTCTTCAACAGAAGATGAAGAAGCAGGGTGGTGCAGTGGAAGGTGTACCATGGATCTACAATGTCTGCTCCAAGCAATAGCAAAGGGGTCATTTGGATTGGAACAGGAAACACATGTATGGATGTAATGTGAAATAAGACTAGACAGGTAGGTATGAGCTAAATTGTGGAAGGACTTAAATGGCACAGATGAGGTTTTGCGTATTTTATCTTAGAGGCAATAGGAGGTCATGGAAAATTGTTCAGTAGGGGTGGGAGTGACACAGTTAGATCTGAGATTATGACAGTCAGGGGTGATGAGGATCTGCATTAGAGAAGAGAGGAGATAGATGCCAGAGATGTTATGGGCACTGAACTGACTTGACTATGGAGGTCTCAGTTTCCTCATTTGTAAAATGAGCCAACAGTAATGACAGCTAACAATGACATAGTACCAGTCTTGGAAAGCACTTTATAGCTATCATCTCACTTCATCCTCGCAATAACCCTGTGAGCTAGGTGCTACTATTATCTCCATTTTGTAGTAGAGGAAACTGAGACCGAGAGAGGTTGTATAACCTGCCACAGGCCATAGAGCTAGGTAAGTATCCAAGATGAGATTTGAATTCAGATCTTCCTGACTCCAAGGCCAATATTCTAGTTAGTTGTCTTTCTGGAATAGAATTGTATGAGGTAGCTTCTAAGGTTCTTTCCAGTTCTAAATCTATAATTCTATACCTTAACACAGGAAGAAGCCACTGTTTGAGATTATCTGAGGCAGATCACCACCCCTGTGATTAACAGGTAAGTCCTAAGAAGTCACCTAAGGCATAGAGATATTTAGCGGTGGGCCTAGGGTACCTTGGTTGTTAAGTGTAGGGGTAGATTTAGAACCCAGATATTTCTGACTCCAAGCTTCCATCTAATCCATGAAGTAATGCTGCCTCTATGGGATCCACTGAGGAACAGAATCTTACCTTTCCTTGATGAGTTATCATTATGAACATCCACTAATGTACTATTCTCTTCTCAAACACAAGACAGCAGGCAGCCAACTAGCCTCCTCCCTAAGTGCTCCCAGATCCCTGTGCTTTCTGAGCTCTTCTGCACACTTTTTAAGGATTTGGTTTTTTGTCTATTCCATTTCTATCAGGTTACTTATTGTCACTTCTTTATGGCTGCTACTGTTCCTACTCAAGGTAGCCTCTCTCACCTTTTAATTGATTGCTTCTACTGTGTTTTCAGTTAAATGGTAACCAAACTTTCTGCAACTATATAGCAAATAATCATAGGTAGGTTGTTAGTGAGTCTCTTCTGAGATGAGGAGATGAGTTTTAGTACACTGACTTGGGGTTTAGCCATCCCAGAATGGTGAGGTGACTAGGTGAGGTGACTGGACAGGTGTTACCATATATTTCACTCCAGAAATTTCCATTGAAAATGTTAATTTGTGACAACAAATGACAACAGAATTATTTCAAATCAAAATAATTTCAGAAATTAGCTTAAAAACTACTTTTAAAAATGACATCAAAATACTATTTCCAGGAAACATCAAATTTAGCCAGCCTAAACCCCAAATTCCTAATTTGTTTCACCTCAAAAAAATTAAGTGACATGATTATCTGGGTTAATAGGAGATGAATGTATGGATAATTCAAAATCGAGTATGTTCCCATTGCTACTGCCCTAGGGGAGGGGAGAATTGCCTTTAGAATCTGGTCATACAAATACTTAAATTTATATAGATCTACATTTAGATGTTTGTATTACCCTTTCCCCCCAACCTGGAATGGTTGGACCCAATTTCTTCTCTCTGTAGCCTGGACCTGGAACAAATTGGGGAGGAATAAATCACAGATAATCCACAATGTGGACAATCAAGACCTGTTAATGTGAAAGCTCAGATTATGCTTGTTTGGCTTTTTTTTCCTTAGTAGAAGAATTTGGGAATATACAAAAGACCTGTTATTCCATCGGCATAAGGAGCTTTCCAGTGTAGGAACTCTCTCTGCCAAGAAACAAACATCTCACTTTGTAGACAAGACCTAGGGAAGTGCCTGAAGCACCTAGTGGTTAAGTAACTTGCTCAAGGTCCCACAGCTAATAAGTGTCTGAGGTAGGATTTGAATCTAGGCCTCCCTACTCCAGTACTCTATCCATTATACTTCTTAGTAGATGCAACTATTCTTTTACTTACACAACCACACACAAACACATACATATATGCATACACACTCTTTCCCCGCGATACATAATTCACACATAGTCCCATAAGCTCAGATAATCATGCTAATTATTTTAATGTATATGTCAACCCCTCAATAATAGTCAACTGTGCTTTAGTACATTGCATCATTTGAATTATTCTATATTACTTCATAATTGGCTTCCAATAAGTTATTTCTACTTTGTTTAATGGAGAAGAAAGGAATATGGGCAAAATTGAGGAAAACAGAAGTTAAGTGACTCACCCAGGGTCACAGAGCTAGCAAGCGTCTGAGGCCAGATTTGAACTCAGGTCTTCCTGGCTCCAGGTCTGGCACTGCATCCATCGGGCCACCTAGGTGATTTTATTTGAAGGCTCTCTCACTTATGTTTCTATAGACTTTGAACTGATATGTCACAAGCTGCTTAAGAGAGGAGCTCATGAGAAGGGAACTATTTTCTGGAAAAGTTCTTCTAAGGGTTATGCAGCTGTGAGGACAGCTTTACACAACATTGCAGAATTCCTGTTCAAAGTACAACACATATGTGATGCAATACATCTGCTGCAAAAACTGCTGTCCTCAGGCAACTTTTATTAGAGGTTATTGGCACGAATAACAAATTCCCCCATGTTACTAAGAGACCATGAAGGCTTGATGTGTAAGTTCTGAGACGCTGGAGGGCAGCATCTATAATTCAGAGAAAGATGTGTTACAAAGCACAACTCTGCGATCTTGGCCCACACATTTCTGTTTTATGATCACAGAAACCTTTTCTCCTCTTCCCTGACAAAAGAATAAAGAACTTAATAACCAGATATAGCAGGGAGGCTGGGAAAACCAAAACAAAATGTAGGACACATGCAATGATCACACAGAACCTAACTGAAAATCAGCCACAACCATCCTCTAGGTTCTGAGAGAGATCCTGATGGCAGCTTCCTGTTCTCAGGTATTGTCTGAAGAGGGAAAGAATCATTTGGAAAATCCAATTTGCATTAGCATAGCATAAGCATGCATAAAGCTGGGCTCTTACCACTCCCTGAGGATGCATTCCTGTTGGCCTTCATCCTGAATGGAAAGGGGGAGAGGGGACCAGTGGGAATGCTTCCCCAGGCTGTGACAGGAGCCCCAGCTCTGTGCATACCAGTAGGACTCAGGAATAAGGATGGGGGTGGGAAAGCTATGAGAAGAAAAACTCTACTTTGATAAGGAAAGACAGGCATCACAGCTCAATCAGAATTCCAGAGGGGAACAGCGGACTGATTAGCTAGTCTTCAATAGTGGACTCAAGTTCAGCATTAACTGGAAGGTAAATGAGGATAATAAAAGGGGTGGTCACTTGTCCTGGAAATTTAACACTCTGAGTTTGGAGCATGAGGATGGCAGGTCTTGCCCTGGATATCTGATGCCTTTTTTTTTTTTAATGGAAAAGGATGTCTATTTTTGGTGGAGAGGCAGGAAGCCTTTAACATCTTGAAAATTAATCACATCTCAAGACTATGTATTGAAAACCCAACATTTGGACTTCTATATCTTCCAAAACTTGGTCATCCCAGGAAGGATTTGGCAACAAGAATAAAAGGATCCTTCATTTCTTTTCAGATGAACCCCACATCTATATAGTCAACCGTCGTGGCTCAGATGAGCAGAAATCCTCTCCCTTCTCACTTGGGCCTTTCCTTTAAGACTCAGCCCAAGGACCATCTAGGGAATGAGGCTTTTCCTTTTCTCCTCCCTCACAACTGATTTCCTCTGTGTCCTTCCTAGTACCTGCTTTGAATGTGCTCTGTACACTTATTTTTATGCATGTTGTCTCCCCATTATAATGTAAGCTCCTCGGGGGCAAGGATTGTTTTACTTCAGTCTTTTTATTCCCAGTGCCTGGCACATAGGTACTTAATAAATGCTTGTTGATTAACTGATTGAATCCAGATACTCTTAATAGTAACAAAACTTAGACTATCTTATCTCCATCCTTCTAATATTTTCCAATAATTCTCTTTAGCTGAGCAGTACACACCAGAACTGGCCTGAAATTCTTCAGTTAATGAGTCATCACCTTTATTATCTCAAGGACATTCTGGGAAAGGGATAGGCAATTGTTTTCCTTCAACAGCAGTGCAGCAGGAGAAATGAGTCCTCTCTGGCCTGACATATGCAGAGGCAGCATATTCTAGTGGAATGAATACCTGTACTTGAATCCAGATTCTGCTGATCACAGGCTTGCTGAGTGACTCTGGGCAAGTCACCTCGGTTATCTCATTTGTAAAATGGATATGATACTTGGAGTTACTACTTCAAGGCACTGTTATGACAAAAGCACTTGGAAAGTCTTAAAAGGTTATAAATGTGATTTATATGATTATTATGCACAGAATTACCAGCAATACTTATGAAAAAATGCTGTTGTCTTTTTCTTAGTTGAGCACACCCACTCGTCATTGAAGACTGACAACAGACTGCCTTTGACTGCTAACAGAACTACCTCTGCTGGACAGGCCAACTTTAGGGATACGGTATCATTGGCCCAATTTAGTGGGTATGGAGATAATGCAGAAATATGAGGTCAATGACAATAGGGAGAAAGAGAAGTATTTCTAAGGTCTTAAGGATGTCCCCAACCAACCAATAAGCGTTTTATTAAATACATACAGAATTCTTTGCAGCTTTATGGAGGTCTCCAACAAAGTGGGAGGCATAGGGTAGAGTAAGAAATAAGGAAGAAATGAGGAGGAAGAAAAAAAAGAGGATAGACTGGATGTTCTAACAACATATACTTCAAAGGTCCATGATTCTGCTGTTTGTAATACAGCAGTGCATGTGACTGAGTCTGTGAGTTGATATGACTGGCAACATTCATTATCAAACTTCATCAAATCCCCGGGGGCAGCCTTCTGTGATGGCTCCGAAACAAGCTAGGCTGGTCTTTTGGTAACACACAGATAGGCCATTCTAGGGCCCGTTCCAGGAGGCTTTCCAACATGGTAAGGCCTCCCTGACTAAGGGACTGTACTTAGACTGTACTCAAGAACCCAGGTACCTCCTTGCCATGATGAGGCATTGGTGAGACATTACTGAAAGAACAAGATATGGCATAGGAGAAAATTCACTTACTCTAAGAATTTTTAAATTCTTCCAGCTCTATAAAAAGGGGCCATGGTTGAGAATCATACCATTTCCTTCATAAAGGCCAAAGGTCAAGACAGAGGGATTTGTCCTATCTAAATAAGGACACTTGGCACATCTAAGATCAAAGGGCCTGCACTTTGTGGAAAACACAGTATAGTCTCTGATGAATCTCCTCTGGACTAAAATTGGGAGTAGTCCTGGTACAATGCCTTATGCTATCTATATCTATACCTATATCTCTTGAAACTAAAAAGAAATCCAGCTGGCAGTGGCATTTTAAGATATCCCTTCTTCTCCCTCCCTCTCTCCACAATGAAAGTAATCTCACATTTTCTTTTCTTTCTCTTCCAATCCCTACTGTCTGGTTACTGTCACTAGCTAATTCTCACTCAGTCTACATTTCAGATAACCCTTGGACTACAGTTACAATGATAACACACTCTCTCTTCTCCCTCCCACACCACTTTCCTTCTAGCTAGTGGTGCTGTCTGAACTCAAAAACACCAGAGGTTACAGAAAAAGTGAACTTAGCAAAAAAACTCAGCCAACCAGAAAAAGATAAATCTCTCTGTGGCTGGAATGGGATTGCAGGAGAGTGGGATGAAGCAGAGAGTTGAGTCACATCTCATTTGGAAACTGCTATTCCTAAGGGAGTAACCTCCAAATTGTTCGTGAGTGGAAGCAACAAAAAAACAAATTTATTCAAGATTTGCTGTAAATGGTTTGCAATTGTGCAGAACCCAGCGTATTCAAGTTGGAAGGATGATTAAGAGCTCATCTATCTAGTCCAGTCACCATCACTTTAAAGAAGAGAAAACCACAAGAACTGAAGGGACTTGCTCAGAGGTACAAGGCTCTCCCACAGTCAAGTGGCAGAACAGGGACTCAGAGAGACCCAGCTCTTTGCTGGATCTCATGTTCTTTCTACCACACTGCCCTTCTTTTTAGCAAATTAAAGAAATCTGGAAGTCTCCTTCCAGACTGTGAGAGAGGGGCATATTTAATCTATAATCCTAAGCAGGTCCTGTCTGCTCCACCCATGAGTGGGACTGACCCCAGCTTGTTTGTCATCTTCCTGCTCTCTGCCCTTTCCTGTACTCAGTGTCTGTACTCCCCCTGCCCCTCAACCCCACATCCCATTCTTCTCACCCCTGCTAGCGATCAAAACATGAAGTTAGGAAAACATCTGATAAACCTATTGTATTAAGGAATAGTTGTTATTACAGCATTTATTCTCCCAGAATATCTACACTTTTAAATGGAGAGGACATTGGTAAACTAAAGGAATAAATCTGAGACATTAGGTGAGCAAGGGCAGTATTTTGGGGACCAGAAGGGCCTATTCAGTAGTTATTCAGAGAGTCAACTATTTTACTTTTGCATAAGCCTGGCCATACCTCTAAGTTCTGGGTTTTATTCACCAGTAATCTAATGGATAGGACACCTATGTTGCTGGATTCTATTTTTCAGGACTGGCTGGTGCCAAATTGCACTTTCCATAAATGCGAATCCTTCCTTGTGACAAGATCTAGAGCAAAGCTGTATGGCAGTTACTGGCAGTATTCAAAAGACTTTCTTTTTGGTTGTTGGGAGCACTGAGCTTTCCCCCTACTACCAGAGGACGAGATTTTCATTATGTATACTACCCTTATCCCATTAGCAAGGACGAACAAGAATTGAATGCGGGATGATTTCTCAAAAGCTCCCCATACTCTATAGAATTTAGTCTCAAATATCCTAGTGAGGATCATAAAATCAGAGATTTAGAACTAGAAGGGACATTAGAGTCCATCTAGTCCAAGTGACTTGTCCAAGGTCACCAAGTTAATGACTGTCTAGGGTGAGATTTGAAGCCACATCTTGACTCCAAGTTCCACACATTCATTATGCAATGATGCTTCCTCTCCAGGAGGATAAAAGGCATTAGGGGTGACTGTAGAAACAAAATTCACCCACTTTTTGTAGTAGATGAGAAGAATCTTTAAAACTAATTTAATGTCTACCCAGAGCATCCATTTTCTGTCAAGTAGCACGTAAGTTCAATAGGACTCCCACATCATGTGGACTTATAATCAAGTAATGGAGATTTAAAAGGAGGAATAAAAAAGAGGGGAACTAAAAAAATTGGACAGCTGTAGTTGGGGAATTTTATCCACAGTTTTCTTGCATGTTAGAAGATTTACATATTGAAACTGAGATTTCAGGTCATGAATGAAGTCAACATTTGCCTGTTTTCAACTGGAATAGGACATTAAAAAAATGAAATAGGTGGCTAGTTATATTCTATTAAAATACCAACACACATAGCAACCAAGCACAGTGCCCTCAAAGCATGTGCATGCTTCTCGGTCAGACAGAAACCAAAGCTAACACAGACGGCATGCCCACAGCCAACCTCAACATGGTCTCAAAAGCCGTTCCGAAACCACAACATGTTAGCTATCTATGCTCTCCTTCTATGCTGAAAAGAGAATGGCAAATTCCAATTCTGTGGGAGGTGTTTGTGGGTCCTTGCTCTGTGCCAGGATCACAGGTCTAGGTCCTTGACTTCATAGATTCAGCATGACTCGGTCTTCATCCCTTATTTACCCTCCTCTTGTCTTCACTTTTCCCTGTGTCTCAAGCTGTGCAAGTTTAGGTTCTTAATCTGTTCTTTTCCAGCTCCCCACATCTGCTTTTCATTGTCATGACTGAGCCATATTATGGGTCTCCCACCAGCAGCAGAGATACTCCTGAGCAGCATCAATAGTGGCTGGGCGTCCCCCCAAAGGGGGCCTTCTATAGGCATTTTTCAAACCATACAAAGTGCAATCCTTTGGTGGATGACTCTGTTCTTTGAAGACACTGAGTAACCAAGATAGGTGGCCAAGAAAGAAGAGCAGATACTGGGGTGGGTGGGTGGGGCAGGGGAGGGAAGAAAAAGGATTGGAAGAACATGGTGGGGAGCCACAGGGATGATTTTTTTTTTTGCTTGTGCTCCCATTTAGTCTGAGGCTCGTACTCTTTCCTTAAGAGGTAGGCAGTCTTGTACAGATAGTATAAAATCAACCTCTTCCCATTCACAGTGTTGAAAAACACTTGGAACATACCCACATGAATTCAGCTTCTTAGCTCAACAAACCCGACCTTTATCCCCCACCTCCTTTCCATGTATACATGCTATTTCATAAACCTTTCAGGATGATGATGATCAAGATTTTGAACTTTCAGCCTGGTGATGGGGAAGATACTCTTCCAAGTCAATTAAATCTTTTGTATTTTCATTAAAAAAAAAAACGTGAGCCAGAGTCTCGTCTAACTTACATGTTCTTCTGAAGCATATAGGACCTCCATTAGTCTCTGCACGAGGTCATCATTTTCCTGCCCATGTTCTTGACAGAGCAGCTCAATCTCTCTCAACTTTCCAAAGTAGAAATCTCTTTCCTTCTCCACGCCTTCAAGTGCAAGTTTTAATGAATGTACCTGTGTGAGGGAAAGGGAACCCAGAAATATAACAGAAGAAATAAAATGCCAAACTATACACATGCAAAGAAGCAAACAGCCATGCAAAGACACAACAGGAAGTGAAGGAGTGACCAACCTATGTACAAGGGAGAAACAAAAGAGCTCTTGTCTGGGGCCCAAGCTCATGCCAAGATGCCCTTTTCAATAGTTTACTACCCATGCCCTTCAGTCAATGGGGTGTTTATTAACCAGTACTAGAATGGCCTTTCCTAGACAACAAAGCTCTATCAGGGAGAGGAATAAGCTTTCCCAGCCAGGGAACAACTCTTTCTCCAAATCTGTTCAAAAGCTGGGTCTTGGATTGAAACAGCAGCCTCAGAAAATCTATCCTGGGAAAAAGAGAAGGGGAGGTGGGGCTGTGTGGACTACTGTGCCTGCCTCAGATTTATCGTGGAAGCCCTTTAGGTGACATTGATTGTAAGACTACAATTGTCCTCTTCTCCCCCAAACGTCACTACAACATTCAGCATAGCTGAGTATTATCAAAGGAAGGGCAAAATTGGTCCAAAGGGGTGATTGTTTATTTTAAAGGATACTAAACCAGAAAAGGGAGAAACAGCAGAGTTCCAAGTCTTCATTTATCCCATGGGAACCACATACAAACACATGCAAAGACCCTCCAAAGTCCACTGGCCAAGGCACGGCCATAGTCAACTCCGTGTGATGTATTTTGAATCCCAAGTTCCTGGCAGTTTGGATGGATAAGGGATTGAATTTAGGAACAGACAATTTAGAAAAAGGAAGGTTGGCAGGACAAACTATCTCCTGCTATCTCTATCCAGGGTCCTAGTTGCTGTGCCAGTGAAAGCCTTTTCACATACAACCATTTGAACCATAGCCTGCCAATACTTTCAGATGCTTAACACACCAATGATTGGTCATGTACATTACGTTCATTCTTGGGGTCCATGTATTAGGAAAGATACTGACAAATTGTAGCGTCCCCAGAGGAAGAAGACCAGGATGATAGGAGTACTTGAAACCAGGAAGGTTAATATGAGGATCCATTGAAGGGGAGAGGGAAGGTGACTAAGAAACATTTTATTAAATGTCTACTATGTGCCGACATTGTGCTAAGCACTTTACAAATATTATCTCATTTGGTCCTTACAACCCTGAGAGGTGGGTGCTATTGCTATTCCCATTTTACAGTCAAGGAAACTGAGGCAGAGAGAGATTAAGAGACTTGTCCATGGTCATATAGCCAGTAAGTATCTGAGGCTGCATTTGAACTCAGGTCTTCCTGACTCCAGGCTCTACCCACTGCACCAGCTAGAACACTGAAAGTACTGAAAAAGAGAAGACTTAGGAGGCACATGATGGTTGGCTTCAAATATGGTAGATGCTGTCACAAGGTAGAAGGAATAATTTGTTTTGTTTGGTCTCAAAGGGGAGAATTAACAGTAATGAGTACAAAGAAGAGACCAAGAGGAACTGGGGCTTGACATGAAGGAAAACCCTCCCAACCTTCCTGAACAGTGGTGTCATCCCAAAGCGGAATGTGCTGCTTCGGGAGGTCAGGGTTCCCCCATCACTAAAGATCTCCAAGAGGAGCTGGACAGCCGCTGGTTTACAAAGCTGGAGTGGAGATTCACACATCAGGTGCAGGGTGGACTGCCTGACCGCTGAGCTCCCTGCCAGCCCTGAGATTCCTTGAGCTCTAGTTTCTGTCCCAGTTCTCAAATCTGGCTGAGCTTTATCAGAGTAGAGCAAAGCAGAAGCCCAATGACTTTATCCAGAGTCCCAGTCCACTTGTACTTCTCCCACGCAGACAGAGGATCACCTAGTCCTCTGACCACAAGTAGCACTGCAACAGTGCTGAAGGCAATGAACATACGAACCCTAAATACACGCAGCTTGAGAATCATTTTGTCTCTGAGGGCTGGGGTTTGTGAATTAAAAAACGATGCTGTCTTACTTCCAGAAGTAACAGAGCTTCATTCTGGCTGAGACTTCAGCTGTTAATAAATAATTCTGGGACTTGAACACTCAGAATCCATCAAAGGATAATGCCAACAATCATCCCAATAGCCCAGAAGGTCCAGGTGCAGGAAGCCTGCTGAGGACTTTTCCATCCCCTATCCTGACCCAATATGTTGCCCATAATGCAACAGGTTCCCTCAAGGCCCCAGCAGGAAGGGGGGACTCTTCCCTTTTCTATCCCAGCCCCTATTTCCCAGCTCCTACCAGCTGCTGACCCTATTCTTCCCCTTTCCATCCTCATCCCTTGCAGAGGTAACCCAGAAACCTGCTACTCTCTGAACCGTCACCGGCTATAAGACTTTCAGGAAGATTGTGGAACATCTGCCTTACTTCTGGGCTTTCTGTCTCTTTGGGTCTTTTTCTCTGACCTTCTATTGTAGCCTGGTCTTTGTCATCTACTCTGCTGCTGCATCCTAAGGACAATGGGGCCATTCCATCTGCTCTGCAATGGAAACCTCCTGTGTGTGTTGTCTTTCCTAATTAGAATGTGAGGTCCTGGAACGAAGGGGCTGCCTTGCTTTTCTGTATCTCTATCCCCAGTGCTGTAGCACAGTGCTTCACATATATTAAGAGCTTAATTAACATCTTCCCCATTCAACTCCTATGATTATACGAAATTTTCTGAATTTCACTAGGCTTTTTTTTTTCTTTTTAAAAGATCAGTAGATTGAGGAACTTTTTATTTACCTGAAAATGTTTTAGTTGACCCCCATGACAACGGGCCAAGCACATTCAAGCAATTCGCTTGTCTCAAACACTCCAGTATTCCTTATGTAAATCAGTTCCCATGAAAAACCAAGGGACAAGGAAATATAAAGGAAAACCAAAATATCAACCAATTACTAAGCATTTATTAGGTTGCAACTATGTACTGCAGGGGGTGAAGAACCTGCAGCCTTAAGGCCACATGTGGCCCTGTAGGTCCTCAAGTTCAGCCCTTTGACTGAAACCAAACTTTACAGAACAAATCTGCTTAATATATGCATTTGTTCTGTAAAACTTGGACAAAAAACTTGGTCAAAAGGCCACACCCAAGAACCTAGAAGGCCACATGTGGCCTTGAGGCTGCAGATTCCCCATCCCTTTACTAGGCACTGAAGACACAGACTGAAGTGAGACAGTCTATCTTCAGGGAGTTTACATTCTATCAGGGTAAATATAAAAGAAATACAGGGTTTCTGAGTGGGAAGGCACTAGCAGCTGGGGGATGGAGCATGACATGAGGGTCAGGAAAGGATTCACATAGGAATGGCATAAAAGCCTGAACTTTCTCTCTACACTGTGGACCTGTGGCCTTGCATTTGTTTTTAAGGCTACACTATTTTAAATTCCCCAGGGCTGGAAAAGCCATTTCCCTTATATCTGAGTAAATATTTTATTTCCACAATACGGTGTGATTGATGTCTTCATTGTCAAGACCAGAATTCCCTTTCCTGTCTCCCATGTGCAGTGTTCTTCCCACTACATATTTCACATTTGCATTTCCCTCAAAACCACCCTGTAAGGTAGCAGTACAAGTATCATTTTCTTTACATTGCAGATCAGTAAACTGAGGCACAGAGAGTTAAATGGCTTTCTTTGGTTCACACAGCTAGCTAGAGTATGGTATTTGAACCTGGGTCTTTGCTGATTTCAGGTCTATCATCTTTTCCACTATATCATATTGGAGATTCAAGACATCAATGGAATTTCAAGTTAGATTCTGAATAAAGAAAACCAAACCTGCCTGACAGATTGATTTGGTCAAATAATAGGAAATTTTTGCAAGTGAGTCGTCTAGTGACACCTCTAGAGTTCTCAACAGGGCATGGGCATACTAGCTGGCTACCATTTATACAGCACTTCAAGGTTTGCAGAGAGCTTTACAAATATTCTCTCATTTGATCCTTACAGAAACCCTGGGAAGTAGTTTCTATTATTCTCATCTACATTTTACAGATGAAGAAACTGGGGCAGACAGAGGTTAAGTGACTTGTTCAGGGTCACACAACTACTAAGTGTCTGAGGCTGGATTTGAACTGGTATCTTCCTGACTCCAGGCCCAATACTCTACCCACTGTGTCACCAAACTGCCTCATCTTCAACCTAGATTCACTCTTTTTCCATGAGAATGACTTTGGAGCTGCCATTGAATTCTCTGCCTTCTAACCCCAACTCTGAGGTGAAAATTGATATTCTACCTGTGAATATAAAAGATTTTGCTTGTTGTGTTGTTTCAGAAAAATGCCAAATAGCTGCTCTTTGAAGAAAGTTTGGAGGCCTCTCTTTTTGAGATAGTGAGGGGAAGGCTTCCTCATTTAATACCATAACTCGGCCACTTGTAAAAGTCAAAAGCGCCAGCTTCAAATCTAGCAAAAAGAAACTCTGCTTTGTTCCTGAAATCCTGCACTATTGAAAAACAACTTGCCTGACCAGGCCACTGCATGTCTCTCTCTCCTCTCTCCCCATTTAGGTGCTAGGAGACTGAATCACAGTAATGTAAGGCATGCTACTAGTCTACTTATAAGGCTTTGGTTTACCAGGCAGGGAGTATCTGTCTGACACATTCAATCCAGAGGAACTAGGATTGTTTGTTTTTCTATGGTGTTTTGGTTTGCACAATGAACAAATAGTTGAAATATTTGCCGAAATACGCATCTGAAGTTGAGGCTTAGTGCTCTACATTCTTTAGGTAACAAATACTGAGCTCTAAAAACGTCTCATTAAAAGTCAACAGTAGTTCAGTCAAAATCTTACCACAATTGTCTTGCTTTAACTCGGTCAAAAAAAAATCAATAGACAAATAAATATTCTATCTGCACTGTCACTTCACAGTATCAATGTCAATAAACTGGTCATCAGGTAGGTTTTTCTCATTAAGAGATGCAAGTGATTTTCCTCCAGGAAAACAAATTCTCAGAAAAAATATAACCAGAGGGAAGATTTATTGCTTCTTTTTACAATTCCCCTTTCATTTCTCTGCACATCAAAGTCCTCTACAAGCCTTATAACTCCTACAAAGCTCAGCTTATGCCTCTCTCGTTCCATGTAGCCTTCCTAGACTAATTCCTCCCAATGAGATTCCCTTTTGATTTTCTTTGGTACTTGCAAATGCTGTCAGCACACATCTTTAACCCATGGCCCTCCCCATCAGTTCTGGGATTATATGGACGAGGCTTAATGTTGGGAGCAGTTACTCTAAATCATAGCTTTTCGGCTTGTGTTGGACCCACTCAGAAGCCCCCATAGGAAATGGCAAAATTTAGCTCTAATATGGCTAAGTCTCCACAAATGCAGGAAAAATGATCCCCAGTTTTGGGCACAGTCTTTTTTTTATTTTTTATTTTTTTGGTGAGGCAAGTGGGGTTAAGTGACTTGCCCAGAGTCACACAGCTAGTGAGGGGAACAGTCTTAAGGCAATAAAGCCTATCAAGTACAGGACAACCTTGATTTTTATCCCTACAATTAAGGAACTTGTAAAGGATTCACTGTAGTAACCTACCAACAATAATTATAATTCTCCTCACTCTCTTCTCCCCAGGGGCCTATACAGTAATATGAACTCAAAGCATCACCCTGTGGTCTTGGGTTCCCTTAAGAAGGGAAAACAACTTGGGGTCTCAAGAGAGGTGATCCCCCATTGTTCCAGGGAGGTTCACTTTTACCTCAGGATCCCAAATATTCACCCTCCTTTAAAGCATTAGCCTGAAGGCTTGGGCTTCCCATAAATGCCTTTGGTGTTGCTAAGAGAGGCAATCCCTTTCTCATCCAAATAATTCACAATAACAGCAGAGGGCAAAATCTAGGTCTTTTGCTCCTCCCCATCATGATGGCTTTAATTATTGTCTGCTCTCCTCCCAGCTTCAGATCTGTGCATAATCCTCTTTTTCTCTAAGGGCTGACTGCCAAGGAATTCCCCTTTCTTGTTCTAGAAGTGTAGCTTCCTGAACTCTTAAACATGGGTTTGCTGCAGGGCATCTCTCCATTACCCTGCACAGGACAAAGTTCAGTTATTTTGTTCCCCCCAAACATAGCCTGAGTTCCTGGTTGCTTCCTTCAGCCTCTGCAGGCCATATGCAAAATCCTATTTTCTTTCTAAGAGGGTGACACTGTTTAGGAACTGCCTTTGTCTTCACGTCTCAAACTTGGGGGAACTGAATGGTTACACCACGCCTCTCCAAGGCTAGAGGCAAAAATCAGGGTTTCACAAACTCTCATCTTTGAGCTCCATACGTGAGAATATGTGACTCCCAGGTACCTCTACCCCATGTGGGCTCCTGGTGGGGAGTGTCCCCTCACCCTAGATCCTCCAGATCTGTTATTACCTCTGCTAATTATTTAGGATCTTACAGACAAAGCTGATCTCTGAAACTCACCTTTTCTTTAAAAATAGGCTTAGCACAAAGGAACATTGTTTTCCTACAACAGTCTGAGTCAACCAACCAATTCATCTGCAGTTGAGGTTCCCACTGTATTATGGTCAAATGGGCATTTACACAACTATATTTCCATATGAACAACTCCTTTATTACATTTTAAAGTCTACTGAGGTCTGGTGCTATATCATATTTTATATCTTCTCAGCTCATAACAGGTACTTAAAAATGTTTGTTGAATTGCCTTGAATACAGGCTTCAGGTACAAAACATTTTACCTATATTATCTCAATTTGAGACTTATACCAACCCTGAAAGGTAGGTATACCTTTTAGTATCCTGAAAGTATACAATTCAGTAAACAGTATACACCAAGGTAGTTCAAATATTATTTTTTATCCCTATTTTGCAGTTGAGAAAGCTGGTGATCAAAAAGGTTAAATTATTTGTCTGAGGTCATGTGGCTAATAAGTGGAAGAGCTGTAACCTGGACCTAAGTCTTTTGATTATGAGTCCATGACCTTCCATTACAACACAATCTATATATGACTTTTCTCCTTGGCCAGAACATAAGCCATGTCTTTGTATCCCTAATAACATTCAGGGCTAAGCAGGAGTACCAGCCCTTCATTGATACCCTTCTCCCAAAATGGAGAGCAAAAATTCTTTTTTGTTGCTCGTAGCATTCTCAGCTAACCTCAGTCCAATTCTCACCTTTACTGCTTCCAACATTTTGGTGAGAGCATGTGATGTTTTTTATAGCCATCATAAGTTACCTGCCCTTTCTTCCATTTTCTGTATGTCTTTCAGAAGTCTAAGTTGGTTGTACATTGTACATTCAAGTGTATATTGGTTTTGCTAGGCAACTCCTCCATTTCTGGGATGAACTACAATTACAGATTATTCAAAGGGCAATGGAAAGAGACATATATGGTACATCTCAAAGGGCTTTAGCACATTGCCAATGATGACTTGTATAAGAGAAACAGTACAAAAGACATTATTGAGCACAGGCATGGCCAGAAAAGAAGCTAGATCAGTCAAGTAGCAAAAACTAGATGCAATAGATGGTTAACCCAGGTGTTAACTTCATATGTTCAAAGATCAAACAAAAAGTCCTTTATAGGGGATTGATGGAAGGCAAAGACAAGAACTATACAGGATAAGAAGTCATGGAAGAGTTGTGTTCTGCAACTGTGAAAAAACTGGCTACTCTGATCAATACAATGATACAAGACAACTCCAAGGGACTCATGATGGAAAAAATGCTATCTGCCTCCAGAGAGAGAGCTGATGAGCTCTGAGTAGAAATTGAAGTATAACTTTATTATTTTTCTTATTTTTCTTGCTTTTTTTAAAAAAATACAGCTAGCATGGAAATGTTTTATATAACTTCACATACATAATTGATATATTACTTGCCTTCTCAATGGGTTGAGTAAAGGGGCTGGGAGGGAAAAAATTTGGAACTCAAAATCTAAAAAGAACATTTAAAATAAATAAATAATAAAAATCAAAATATATTTAAAAAAAAAAAAAGAAAGGAGATTGTGATATGCCCTGGTTGGTGAAGTACCCAAACTAATGAAGTTGGACATCTACCAAAGCACCAATAGTACTACTTTATTTTTCGAGTTTCATATTTTTTGGGGCCCCAGGCATATGGTCTGAGGCTCATTATAACTGTATCAATTGTTTTTTGAGAAAAACTTCTGGGAATCTCTTCACAGGAGTGAGACCAGTGGTATGTTGGAGTCAGCTCCTACTGGCCTTGAGAACGGACTTAAACAATCAGTGTGAGCTTATATACCACAGAAATGAACAAACGCTACAAATCAGTGTCTGATTTATTGTTTTGTTGATTGTTTAGACTTAAGAAAGTAATGGAGAAAATGTTGATGATGAAGATAAAAGGATGTTGTGTGTACACTTGTTTTTTTTTTCTCCAGAGAGCTGATACTTAAAACATTTATACCAGCTCACTCCTCAGTGAAATTTAGAATCTTCAAAGATTCTGAACTTTCCACAATTCTTAAAGCATTGTATTCACTGACCGCCCTGGGCCAATAATTATTCTTTTACTCTAATCAGAATTTTAAAGAGTCTCCCATCCCTTGCCAAAGGATTGCTGCCTCTCAAAATCCTTTCACCGTGTAGAGCATAGGACTGTCTCCCACACACACATATTTCCTGCCTTTCCTATGTAAAGGTAATAACTAGAAGGCAGAGCCAGTGGCCTCAAACAAGTCAAATGCTTATTCTTCCTCCCAGAGTCAAAATCTATGTAAATCATTGGTGCGATCTTGCTAATAGTCAAAGAGCACTCAGGATCTCAGCTAATGACTTCTGGCGGTTCACTGCTAATAGCAAGTACAAAGATCGCTCAATTCTCAATGTATCAGGCTGCAGATTCAATAACTGTCATGACTGAACACTATGGTACCATTTCCTTTATTTAAAAACATGTGTGCGCACACCTCCCGCCCCAGGCAAAATCACCAAAGGACGCGCATGAAGTGCGCCAGAACAATGCTATGCATCACAGGTTACCTGTTCGTTGAGCTGTATGACCTGGGTTTCTAAGTCTTTCTCAGATTTGGAAGCTGAGCCACTGCTAGAGGGGGTCCTTTTTGCTGATGAGGGACGAGAAGGGGTAGATCCTGGTTTAGAAGCCGGACTAGATTTAGCAGCACCTGGAAACAATAGAACAAACTATGAATGACAGACACTTAGGAAACACAGAACCATGGGGAATATTGTCAGAGCATGATGAAACCTTAGAGATTATCTTGTCCAACTCCATGTTACAGGTGAGGAAACTGAGGTCGCCCAGGAAAGTGAAGCTACAGGGCTTAGCATAGAAGGGACGTAAACTGAGGTCTTTGATTCTTGGGATTTTTCAACCACTACAATACTGTGCTTCTGCCATGAAATACGTTAACAGAGAACGCAAAAACCACTCCCAGCAACTCTGTTCTGCCCCTTTCAGAATTAAACTTATATGAAATTTTGTGTTAAGGCCCGCTATTTGGCTACTAAATAACTGTGAGCTTGGCAGGTTGCTTAACTGTTCTATGTCCTGCTTCCCTTTCCTAAGACCAGGGGAAAAATTAATATAATATTCACTTTTGCCTTGAGTGAGATAATAATAGATTTACAAGGACTAAGTTCTTGGGAAGAAAGGTAAAGCCAAAATTTTTTTGATTAAAGTGACAAATAATCTCTTTTAATTAATCTGATTACAATAGAGCTAGAAAGGACCTTGTCAACATTTTTATCAGTGGCAAAACTTTAAAAAGTGAAATAAGGCACTTGAGAATCCAGACTAAATAAAACTTTCAGAAGGATTCTCAACAATATAGTTGTACCTGGGTACAAACCAACAGATTTATAAAGGCGAAGTGTTATAGAGGAGAGAATACTAGACCACCTTATAGTTGGGAAGATTTGGTTCTGAATTCTGTTGCTGAAAGTTGCTGCGTAAGCACAGTCAAGTTCACTTTCTCTAACCCTCTGTTCCCTTATCTGTAAAAATGAGGATCATAATACCTATAATGCCTACCTCACGGGGCTCTCGTAAGGAACAAAGGAGATAATAATGTCTGTAGAAAGCTTTGCAAACTTTAGTTATTATTATATAATGCAATGGAAAGCTCACACAATTCTAGTAGAGATTCTAGTATATTATAACTCAATTTAGTCTTTAGTTTATAGACACTTGTCAATGAGTCAGTCAACAAACATTTATTAATGTGCCAGGCATTATGCTAAGCGCAGGAGAAAGACAAAAACACAGTCCCTGCCTTCAAGGATCTCACATTCTAATGGGGGAGACAATATGCAAACAACTACGAACATACAAGATACTCAGAGTAAATGAAAATTAATCTTGGAGGGAAGGCATTGGGGGCAGGGAGAGAAGGGAAGGAGAGGAACTGGGAAAGGCCTTCTGCAAAAGGAATTGATCAATTTCTGATAGAAATAATATTAGAAATGATAGGTTCTCAGGTCAACCTGCAAATATCTACTTAACCTATAACATACTGGACCTGTCAGTATTAATAATGCTATAGAACCTAAACACTATCCATAATAACATTTTTATATAGGAAAATGCATTTGAGATTCCAATGTGGGATTCTAGGAACAGATCTCCTGTCATTATAGCCCCAGTATAAAGAATAGGGGACTTCCTTCCCTCAAAAACCACTGGAAGGAACCAAGCCAACTAATTAGAGGGTCCTAACTGGTGGGAGCTCTTGCTGCAGTGATCAGAATTAGAAGGGAAGGAGGAGCTGACTTCCAATCAACTCCAGTGGCAAGAGATGGGGACAGGTGAAGTGAGATGGGGCCATTTCTAGTGGCAATGGGAAGAGGGAGAAGGGAGGAGTAGAGTGAAAGGCAGAACAAGATCAGTTCTACCCAAGAGCATCAGGGATTAAGGGCAGGAGCCCTGGACAAAGGGAATGGGGTGTGTGCTAGGACATGTTCTATCTAAAGGGGAAAGGATTAGCCTTGGTGGAGGCAGTGAGAGGGCAGGAGAGAGTCTTAGGGGCAGCAGTATGGAGATAGAATTCTGCCTAACAGGTAGTTCTTTGTAGATACAAGACATTCATCTGTCTGAAATTTGTAAACTGAGTACTGCTTATGAAAAAAGAAAAGTTTATCTTTATCTGATACCAAGTAAGGGAAAATTTTTTATTATTAAACTTTCTTTTTTTTTTGTCTCCTTATTGAAGGATAGCTCTATTCACAAATGTATACATGCCACAAGGGTATTCTACCCCAGTGAGGGTGTGAACAAAGCCATGACAAATTATGGTATATGAATGTAGTAGAATTCTATTGTGTTATAAGAAATTAAGAAAGAGATGACAATTTCAGAGTAACCTGAGAAGACTGGTATAGACTGATGCAGAACCAGGAGAATAATTTATAACATCAGTATCGTAAAAATTAACAAGATTTTGAAAGACTTAGGAACTCTGATTAACAAAATGATTAAACATGACTCTAAAGGACTGACAATGAAGGATGCTAACCACCTCTTGACAGAGTGGTGATGAACTAATATGCAGAATAAGATGCACATTTTTGGACATAGACAATATAGTAATTTATTTTTCTTGACCATGTAAATTTGTTGTAAGAATTTTTGTTTTTTTCTTTCTTCCTTTTTTTTTTTTATTGAGGGAGGGCAGTATGGGAGAGAAAAAATGCTCGATAATTGAAAAAAATTTAATTAAAAGGAAAGCCATGAAAGTATTTAATGTAAACAAACGGACAGAAAAATTATATTTCATTGTACTTACCAACCTGGTAGAAATGTAATTACGGTAATACTCTCCTCCTACCTGAGAACTAGTAGCTCTTCTCCCTGCCAAGTTAACCCCTCTTGCCTCTGCTCTTAATCCCATTTTTCACCTTGTTTTATCAGTTCCTGTTTCTCTTTTATCTTCAAACTCTCCTTTATTATGGACGAACTAAGAACTTCTTTCTCCTATCCTAAGGAAACCTTCTCATGATACTGAGTCCTAAAACCTGGCTTATGCTACAAGAAGGATAAGCCCTTGGACAGACATGGAACATACTTAATGAAGACTTCAAACTGAAAAAGGAGTAGGGAAGGAAAATAGGCTTGGATACAGCCTGATACACTAGAAGTGTGACATGGGAAAAAATAATAGTGGAGCAATTTCATTGGGGGATAAGGACTGGAAAGAGGTCAGGCATGATTCTGCAGACTCATGTGTCTGTAGATAAATGTGAGAAATATATGTCCTAATAAAAATACAAATGATTCACACATATATCATACTCGGAGGTTTTTAAAGTATTTTCCTCATGATAATCCTATAGGGTTGGTATAAGTATTACAACCTTCACTTTACCTATTAGAAAACTGAGGATCTGACATAATCATGAGGCTCGTCAGTATCTAAGGCAGGATACAAGCCTAGGTTTCCTAACTCCAAGTCCAGCATGCTGCCCATTCTGCCACTCCGTCTACCAGCAGAATTTTGTTATTAAGAGCCTCCTATTCCTCTTAAGTCAAGTTTCCTTTTATACTCTCAAGCAACATACCCCCAACCCATCCAATTTCTAATCTCTTTGAAATCTTTCAAGGTCTAAGATGTATTCATCCAGCTAAGCCTGGTTTTCCCAAAGATGGGATAGATTGGAACTCATGACCTGAGACTCTAAAAGGGAAATTAACTCAAGAAGGATGGAAGGTACCCAACAAAATTCTGGTAATATAGTTGCAAATGATTCTAATGAAAGAGAAAAATCAGAGCCCAAAAATGGCTTTTCAAGGAACTCATTAGCATCTCTGGCCTTTAAAAGGATCTGGACTAGAGAAGGAAATGAAGGTAGAACCAATACACTTGAATGGCAAAATCCTGTAAGAACAATGTTGGGAAAGCTAAGGTTCAGGTTTGCACTAAATGTTAAAGAATCTAAAAGTGCCTTTTTAAAAAATCTCTTGTTTTAGGAAGAAGCTCAAGCAAGGGATTGGACACCTGTTTTCCATACATGGGAAAAAGAAAGTAGAACTAATTAACTATTTTGTTTCCTTTCCTAATTTTATACTTCATATTAATTATTCCCCCCCAAACCCAGCCCACCCTCCTACTTTCCCTATTTCTGGCAAAGGCACCCAGAAGTCATTCCTGACTCTTACCACCACATTCTCCATCTCCAATCAGCGTCATAGATTCTGTCTCCTAAACATATCTCATCCCTTCTCTCCAATCATATCACATTCACACTAGTTTAGTCCTTAGTACCTTTTTCCCCCCTATATAGACATCATTTTTGGTGACTGTATCAGCTACTATGAATTCAATAATCATCTCTATGTAGATAATTCCTAAATTTGCATTTGTCATTATCTCTCTCCTGTGCTACAGTCCTGCAATTTCCACTTAGTTGTCCATCTGTATCTTAAACTCAACATTTCCAAGTTAATCAATCATAGGATCATTGATTTAGAGCTAGAAGGGATTGTAGAGGGCCAATTCCCTTATTTTACATTTGAGGAAACTGAGGCCAATAGAGATGAAATGATTTACCCAAGATCACATAGGTTATTCAACTTGAATATAGTCATTTAAACTCAGGTCCTTTGGATCCAAAATAAGTACTCTTTCCACTGTACCATTCTGCTTCTTGCATTACTGTAACCATTTTACAGATGGGAAAACTCAGAAGATTGTTCTGAACTTACAGAACAGAATTTACAGTTTAAAAGATCCTGCTGATTCTACCCTTGCATACTCTTGCTTCTGAGGCAGTATAGTACAATGAAAAGTGCTGGATTTGGAATGACTAGACTTGGGGTTGTTTTAGTTGCTCTAAATGCACTGAGATCCCTTGGAGCTCTAAACCTATGAGCCTATGATCTCATTTTCCCTGTTTCTACCACAGTCACCCTAATTCAGGCCTTAATTGCCAGTTCCTGAATTATCTAAATGGCCTCCTAACAGATCACCTTACCTCCAGCTTCTCTCCTCTTCGAACAATTCTAAATATTGACTGAAACAAAATCTATGGCACAATTCTGATTATATTATCCTTCCCTCCTAGAAACAAACAAACACAAAAAACCTCCAAACTAAACGAAATCAAAACCCAAACCTTAAATATTTAGTCCTCTGTTGCTCACCAAATAAAGTCTAAACTCCACAGTTTG